AACAATGCCCTTTTTGAAATCAGTTAAAAATAAGAATTAAGTAATTATCTCAGTTCGAAATAAGAGGATTGATCCAACGAATTTCATTAGTGGAAGTGGAAGTTATATAATCTGTTATAATGTTTTAACTTCAAAAAGATCGAATCTATATTTCTTGCCACTACGTTTTTTGTTTAATTGCTAGAGCTATTTGTTCGTTAATCCATCCGTAAGAAAAGTAAATCCGTAAGAAGTAATATTCAAAAGTCCAAAATTCAAAATCCCAAAAAAATTGTTGATATTATTTAATCAATGTATAGACACGAATGACGCCAGTTTTTCATTGTTACAAGTAGGTAATTCATTCTAGTAAAAAACCCCAGACCGCAGGGATTTTTTTTCATTATGAATTGATAACAAAAGCTATTAGTAAACCTATTCACAAATCTGAATAAAAAAATGTGCTGTTTTTGTAGAAGCATTTGAAGTGAATCACATGTTTTATCACATTTTTATGATATTATAGAAAATATTTTGAGTAGTAGGTAAAGTACGTACCTATAATTTTTTTCTAGTTTCACATAAATATTTATTTGGAATTGTATTATCCAAGTATACCTGTACAATACATGGTCTAAAAAAATATAATAGGGATCTACTCTTATCACAATTTGATTTATAAATCTACATATTATCTGACATAACACTGTTGTTATTATATAATGCCTGACAGAAGGGAGAAGAGTGTGCCAATTTTCACTTGTTTCAGTCAAGTATAGGTTTTACATGAAACAACTACAATTTATCTGTTTAGAAAATGTTTTTATATAGGCATATTCATAAAATATGTTTTAATACACAAACTAGGTAACCCAGTCCAGCATTTTACGATTAAATATTCACAGTAAGGTAATCTAGAATAAGTAATATAGGTCGCTGGTTTAAATCCAGCTCGAAAGACCAAATTTTGTGTCCATCTCAACTAGGTCCATGAATAGACCGATGGTAAAACCACATCGTCCGGATTAACTTGTAATTATATTTTATATTGAATAATAATTCGAATACAATTAGCGGAGTAAAAAAGGGTGTCCAAAAAAACGATCGCACGAGAACATAAAGAGTTCTCTGTTTGAAAAACAAAATAAATTTGTAAAAAAGTTATCATTGCTATTTCTGTTGTAGTTATCAAAATATTTCATACACCACAATTCCGAAATAGCATCGAAATTACCATGTATATATAATTTTCTAAAATACTGAAATACACATTTGATATATTTTGTTCAATAATGATATATATTATTGTACCAATTTTCATCATTTAGTTCCGCAAAGTTAGGAGTGGTTTTTCTAAGAAACCTTTCCTAAACAGATGTTTATGTTATTAGTTCATGGAAAACCTACTTGACTGAAACGAATGAAAATTAGCACACACACATTTGTGCTAAATATGTGTGTGCTAACTTACATGTGTTTAAAAATATTAAATAAAAAGCATATATAATTGACATAATCTACGTACCTTACTCAGCAGTTTTGAATCAATTTTAAATTAATTAACATTAGCATATAATTATTAGCATATTGGGAAACTGTAAAGCTCACTTAGTGTGACGTAAATAAATAAATAAATAAATAATTAAGACTGCACATCCTAATTATGTCAATTATGTATAAATCTTAATTTAGTTAATAGATATATTTGTACAGCTGTATTCAAACAAACATAAAGTTTTAATTCTATGCATAACTCTAGCATTAACTAATTAAGTATGTATAAGTATTATGTCTATTTCATTATGTATGACTGTTTTGTAATGTATTTTAGTGAATACCTATTAATATTTACCATAATATTGTTCTAATAACTTTGTTTGTCTGTAATTATTTAATTTGCTAATGAATATTATGATATTTACATAATATTGTAAATCAGTAATAAACAAATATGCATTCTCTTCGTCACTGTACTTAAATTTATTTATATCATACTAGCCAGTTTCGGGTAATAGTAACCTAATTGGTATTATTAGGAGGAAAGGAATTTTTGAAACGCGAAAGTGTGGATGTTTATTGCTCTTTCACGTAAGAACGAAATGTATTTTTAATGAAAATTCACAATTGTATTGTATATTATACCGCTTATATATACACACAGCTTATGTAATATATCAAAATAACGTATATCTAATCTATAAATTTCACTCGGGTGCAGCTAGTTATACATACATATGTTAAGAAAAGAAGATAATAACGTATTAATTAAACTAATTAAGTGTAATAACAACGACGAAAAGAAATAATTAAATATTATTAAGGACACCATATCTTAATTAAACCGTTGTTTCTAAGATAAGCGACGGTTATGCACTTGAACTAAATACATCCAATGTAATTTAATAAATATTTATATTATTATAAAACATAATTGAAAAAACATTTCATTCTGATAGTGTTATCTGTTATAAGTTCTAGTAATAGTAATAAGATAATATAAAAATAGTTGTTTCCAAAGTTAGGTTAATTTTTTTATCTGAATCTCCCACACATTAATATTATTATATATGGCATTACATAAATTTCGACATTATGTTATCTGTTATTTTATACAAAAATTTTTTTATCCTGAGTGATGCAAGCCAGATCGCATATTACTAAAATAAGTCCGATATTTAAAATCTTCTTTATAAAGACTTTAGATACAAGGAGATTCTGATTATCAATTTTGACGATGCTTTAACATGACAAGAGATAAACTACAGTTTCCACTTATTTAATTAGTTAATAGACCTTTAAAACATTACAATTATGATAATAAGGGTAAATAATAACGTATTTATGAATTGTAATAAGTTGCAAATAAAATCCGGTTCATAATTACCTCTTTTACCTATTCATATTTATCAAGTCTCTTAATTCTGCGATAATAATTAGGGTGATTTAATTATGTGATTACGATATATTTTGTTATTGATAGAATAACAAAAGTAAATAAATACAATGTCATGCAGAGCAATCTATTCCCATAAATTATCTTTAATTATATTTCAATGCAATTTATTCTTTTTTTTCTATATAAAAATCACAGATAACATAATATTACATAATAAAAATAATACGTGGGTTACTTTTATTCGGATTCATAGGAGGATATAAGTAGTGTTATATCTTATAATATATAGTATAATAATCTATACGGACCCAGTCTGTACAGGCCACCGAACAGTAGATAACGAAATTTTACAGATTATATATTTAATATGTAATTGGTCATTATTAATTGAAAATTATATGATAACGTCAAAACAGCTTAATGAGCCATTCATTGGTCTGATATTGAAATCCATATCCCACCAACGTGCATAGAACCAACTTCAAAAATAAGATGTTCGACTATTTCTTTAATACAATGTTGACAAACAGATATACGGCATGTCTAGTGGCAAACAGTACTTAACCAATACTTATATTACGATCTACAAATGAGACAAATGTACAAGCATGCCAAGTTGACATCAGTAGTTAAACTATATTTTGGTGCATGTATGTACTTAACTACGTACCTTACTCAGCAGTTTTGAATCAATTTTAAATTAATTAACATTAATTATAAATCTACTAGTACAAATTGTTTTTTTAATTAAAAGCGGGTTTTTGTCATTACTTTATAATTTACAATTTAAAAAACCAATTACAAATTTTACTAATTATTACCTTTGTATCTTGATTGAAAACGTTTTTCCCAGGAACACGTGTCGAAGTTAATATGAAATTTAGGAAATTTTATAACCTTACTAAACTACAGAGCCGTGATACATTTATTTGAAGCTTTAATGTTTACCTACCTCAATTGCAATCAACTATAATTTTTTTAGACTGACAGTCATAGTTTGCAAATCCTTACTAATATTATAAATGCGAAAGTAACTCTATCTGTCTGTCTGTCTGTCTCACTATCACGCCGAAACCACTGAACCGATTTAAATGAAATTTGGTACACAGATACTCTAGACCCTGAGAAAGGACATAGACTACTTTTTAATGAAATACGAGGGTTGCAAAGGGTTGAAAGGTTATATGGAAATATCGTCATTTTACGCGGACGAAGTCGAGGGCGCAGCCAGTTATTAATAAACCATTAAACAATTGCAGATGGGAACTTTAGTTGTTAAATAGTTAATAAATAATTGTAAATCTGTCAACAAATATATATTTTAAATGAGAATATTTCTATAGAAAAAATTAAGTAAGTATTAGTGAAATCGGATATATTAGTTAGCATATACTACGAAGAGATTCACACTATATTTTGAAGCGTATATTACATACTTACCAGAAATAGAAACACATTTATAAATATCAAACTGAAATTTATCCATGTTTATTATTTGCAATCGTATTATATAGGTTTTATGATTTAAATACTTCTGTTTATTTTGCGAATACTATGTTAATAAATACATAATTAGCATACATATGAAAATTATATATATGTACATAAGTTGCCATAATAAGTAAACAAGTAAACCTTTTGCAAAGTGTGTACAATTTATATTATGCCTGACTTGATTTATGTAAATTTAAAAAATATAGCTCCCGAATGTCGAGACTAAATAGGAAAGTTAATAGAATTAGCTTGCAGATAGGAATCACATTTATTTATGCTAATATTAAAATATGTAGACTAAGGATTTGAATGGATAAACTCAATAAGTAGGTATATAAACATTTTTAAAATTCTTTCACCTAGAGAAAACTATATAATTTGTCACCAAGTTTTATAGGTTATCTTGTACTATGTCCATTTTCTAAACGCAGTAGTTGCCTAAAATAAACTTAATAAAACGATGTAATATTATGTTATCTGTGATAAAACTAACAATCTAAATTAATATATAGCTTTAGATATTAGTAATACATCGGTAAAGGGATTATAAAAGTCTTCTCCAAAAAGATATAGGCAAATGCATATAACTCCTATAATTTTAGATAATATCACTGTATCTCTTTTGTTACAGAAAAAACAATCCTGAAAGATGTGTCTGGGCTGTTTAAGTCAGGAGAACTCACAGCTATTATGGGTCCATCAGGAGCAGGAAAAACTTCTTTATTAAATGCTCTCACTGGGTTCGCGTAAGTAATTTACCTTATACTTTTGGTTAATGTAGAAAATAGTATGAAAGAAAACTTGTACGCAATGAAAATACAATATAGGCTACTTTTTTTCGGACTACTCTAATGCTGTTGGCCGCAGCTGGCCTTTACAGCTTCACCGGACGAGTATGTAGAGTGCTGAAATTTTTAATTTACACACCGTAACTGCAAGTATAGATTTATTACTAAAACTACGATCAAAATCTATCTACTCGAATTTGCATTGAAAGTCAACCAAATCGAATATATAGTATACTAACTATAACTATACATATAGATATAGAAATCCGACAGATATTCGGATATAAATCTATACAGTAGAGTAGTGTTATATATAATATATAAAACAATAATTAAGGTCATCATAATTACAGGACCCATGGCGTAACAGGCACAATACGCAGCGGCGATAAACTATGCGAATTGGGAGATAAAAACTCAACGGCTGCTTTAAAAGAATACAGAAAAAAAACGTGCTACATCTTGCAAGATGACAGACTAAACCCGCTGTTCACAGTCGAGGAGCACATGTGGTTCGCTGCTGACTTGAAACTTGGTAACTGTCTCACCGAGAAGCTAAAGCTGTCTGTGGTATGTTCACTGATCGTGAATCCGAATGATCGAGTATTTAATTCTACATCCTAATTATGATATTCACATAAAGCCATTTAGTCAAAGGATCTTGTAATATAGTAATCTGTTATAAATACTTTTTTTGTTAATAAATAGTAAACACCCAGGCAAATACAAACAATTATATTTATGAATCCAAATGTTTGTATCGTGCGAGGTATCGAATACGGACCTGGTAATTGCAACAAGGTAATTCAACATTGTAGGGGGTGAACTTATCACGTCACCGGTCACTGAAAAATCAGCCATAAATATAAACTACCAAAGTTTTAATAAGACAAGCAATAAGTAGTAATTATCGAATACTTCGACTAAACCCAAAAGATATAATGTATACTGAATACAATATTCAATAAAAAAATATTCAGAACAATAAGATATATAGATTCAATATATTTTATTTATCTTAACGCTGCTCGTTTGAAATTGAACGTTATTTACAGATTGACGGTATCCTGGATACCTTGGGTCTGGCACATACGAAGAACACCAAATCTAGCCGCCTCTCAGGGGGTCAGAGGAAGCGATTGTCTATAGCACTGGAACTCATAGACAATCCTCCCGTAGTATTTCTGGACGAGCCGACCACGTTAGTGTTTTTTTTTTATATTACGAGAATACATATAATGCAGGGCACTCTTAATTATTGCGAATTTAGTCGTTTTAATTTGTTTGTTAAATATTTGTAAGAAGAAACTGTCCAAGAACGTCCTTAATATAAACTAGTTTACTCGGTTGTAATAATGTAATTCACGCATTAAACTTATCTTTTTCGCTATATTGTTCAAATACTTATGTAACCTGTAATTAAAAAACATAGGTGCATATTACTTGCTTGTACAAAATACCCAGATACTTAAATGTTGTGTAAAGACTTAAATACAAGAAACATTTATACCAGAATTACTAATATAGTGAAATTCAACTCAGCCTCCTTTCACCCTGGAAAGGGTCATGGCTCTGTCCAGGGCGGAAATGAGGCCACGCCATACCAACTGGGGTGCTGGATCATGTTAATCTGAAATATATCAATTTTAATTTGATTATCAACAGACGAAGGTTGACTGTCGTTTTTTTTTTATTTGGGATTCGTTGATAATATATACTAATTCATTAATTTATGCTTTCTTTTTTTTGGAATTTTTTGAAAATTTTTGTTTTTAAAACATAGCGTAATGTTTTTTTTCATTACAGAGGTTTAGACAGCTTGACAACGACACAGTGTGTAGAAATGTTAAAGAGCCTGGCGCAAGGTGGTCGTACTATAGTCTGTACTATACATCAACCTACTGCTACAATATACTCCATGTTTGATCAGGTCAGTTATACAAATATATTAGCACATTCGTTCAATTTCAAAATTTTTCAAATTAATTCTTTTTTTGTTTGTAACTTCACACTTAATTATATCATTAGGAGAGTATTCACAAGTACAATAAGCTCTAGCTTTGTTTTATAAACATTAACTTCCTTTATTAAAACTGTATCTAAAATTTTATTTTAGAAATATTAGTACAATACTAAAATAACATATCGTTCTAAAGATATAAAATTAAGTTTATTCCAATAAGGATAATTTCTATTTCTAGGCTATATATCAAACGCTACAAGAGCCAAAGGAACATGTATGTCATTGATTCATATAGTAAAATTTCGGCAGGTGTATTTATTAGCAGAGGGCATGTGTATATACGACGGTTCAAGTGGTGACACGGTGCCGTACCTCGCATCTGCCGGCCTGCAGTGCCCAAAGTACCACAACCCTGCAGACTATAGTATGTACTCTATATTTATTATTTCCTTATTATAACACACGTTGTTTTGCCATATAAATTTAAACCGCTATTAAATATTGGCCTTGGTGATAGAAGGGTGAAAATTTAGGGCTATATGTATTTTTAACATAATAAAAAAAAAAAAAGTTGTACAAATTTTTTTTTTAATTTTACGCGTGGACACTTATCACTTAGGGGTATGAAGCTCCTAAGAATATAGTTTAATACTTGTCCCTGACGGTTCTAGGTAGCGAACTCTGAAAAAGGCTGAGCACAATAGATTTATGTAGGTCGCAGTGCTACAGGTCCAATCACCTGACAATAGTCCAAACAAGGCAATAATAATAGAGGTATGAAAAATATGTGATACGATAAATTTACATATAAGATTATTTATTTCAGTTTTAGAAGTAGCCAGTGGTGACTATGGAAATTTCAACGAGATTCTCGCAGAGAAACGTGAACAGGCTGAAAAAGTAGCTCCTGTGGTTAATACTAACGAAACCAAAGTGCAAAGCCTCTCTTGTGGCAAAATTGACATCATTCTCAATCCTCCACACGAGTTATATAAGTTCTTCATTCTCTTTACACGATGTATAATTCAACTACACAGAGATTGGGTATGTATATAAATACTATTATAAACAAACTAACAGTTTCGTCTGATTTAAAACATAAAGCATAACCTATATTCGTCTTTGTGATTTTCTTTTGATGATTGATATCTCATAAATATATTAGTTTTATTTAAGATGACGACTAAATGGTTAAATTTATCTATTTAGTCGTTAAAATATAACAAACAGACATACTTTCGCTTTATAATATTAGTAATATTGATTATTTTGACAGTTTATTGTAAAGAACTTTATTTGACGGGTTCGTATTTTTAACATACATGTATAAAACATTTAGAGCTGTCTAAGTCAAGTTTATTTTAATATATCAAACAAAATATGTACATAATCTCCAAAAAATTTTTTTAAATTTAGAATTTTTAATTAAGAACGACAATTAAATTTATTATTTAAAATGTATTTAATCTATACGCTTCGAATTACCGTTTAATTTGCAAATACTCAGTTGCTCAAGCTTGGCGGGTGAAATATATGGAGACTGAGCGGACGACTATTTACGACGACAAAGTCTATCTCAGTATAAAAAAAATGTATACTAATTTCTTTAACAATATACAATCATATCACTAAATTGACGGCCGCAGTGGTATAGCTTTTTAACACACTGCCTTACTTCCGATGGTCGCGGGTTCGATTCCTCGCACAAACATATGTATTCATGAGTATGATTGTTTGTATCGGCCTGGATGTTCTTTATATATAATATTTACGAAAACATCTGTGTATTTCTCAGTTATCTAGTACCCATAACACAAGTTTTAGGTAGCTTATCTTGGGACTAGTTGGCGCTGTGTGAATTGTCCTGAGATTATTATTATTATATCACTAAAAGCAATCTCTTACAGACAATCTGGATTACTATTTATGCATGCTACCTATAAAATATTCATATATTCGCCATTTATAACAACCTATAAAAGCAATGTAATTAACTCGTGTACTTATATTAATAGTTTCAACACATTTACCTATATTATTTCCGCAGTCAGTCACCTATTTAAAACTATTACTTCACGTACTTATTGGGATATTCGTGGGCCTCTTGTTCCAAGACGCAGGCAGCGATGGTTCTAAAACCATCAACAATATGGGCTACCTACTCGCTTCGATGACATACCTTACCTACACGTCTCTTATGCCTGCTGTACTTAGATGTGAGTTGATACTTCATTTTTCTATATAAATATTATTTTGACGGTCTTTGTTTACCTATTAGCTCGACGCCTTACCTTACTTACGAAAGTCGCGGTACAAATGGTTGATTGGTACAATGGTTTGAATCGAACCCGTAACCATTTGTATTCTTAAGTATGATCAGTATTATGACATATATAGTTAAGAACCTATAAAAAAAATATATTTACGTAGTTTTATTAAATGTCTTGTACCCATACCTTGGTCTGCTTAGCTTAGATCTAGAGGGCTCTGTCTAAATTCTTCAGCGTCATTATTTGTTGTTATCTACAGGGTTAGTCGTAGGTATACGAAGTCTAAAAACCCTCCAATCGACCGCCTATCCTATCCTCACACAATCCCAAACACAATGATAAAGAATTAATCAAATACACCTATTTGTAGTGATGCATTTACATAAATACAGCAATTGTTTATTCCAAGTATTCTGTTTTATTTTCAGTTCCCACAGAATTGGCGGTTCTCAAGAAAGAAAACTTTAACAATTGGTATAGCTTGAAAACATATTATATTGCCGTACTAATCACCAGCATACCTTTGCAGGTAATAAACAAATGTAATAGATATGAAATTATTTTAATTTATTCTTCTCCTACACTTCGAATTATTTCTGTTAACACATGAGACTATTCCATTAGTTTACGTCTGCACTATAACACATATTTAAATTCAGTGTAAAACCAGTCCACGTTTCGACTCTGAGTTTTTTCCTTGCGTCTTTGACGTGCGTTTTTGCTGTAAATCCGTATTACTTTCTATTTTCAAATTTTCATATTGTTTTGCTCTTGCTCGTAAAATGGATTTAATTTCACCGATTTTTTATATATAAAGCAGCTCATAAAACACGCGTGCGTTATAAACACAAATAGTTAAGTTATAATCCATAAACGCACTACTTGCAAATTTTTTATCAAATTTCGATGTGATCGCCACACGGTATCTCCAGCCAGTTGGCAGCGTGCTGATTAAAAAAGTAAAACGGCTGAAAGCAACAACGTGAAGTTTTATGTTTGAGTTTATTTGAAATCAAGTGTATTGAAACATGTTGTACGTGCATATTTATCACGCTCGGCTCATTTCACCCTCGCCTACGGCTCGGGCTGAATTTCCGCCGGGTGTGTTATAACCATCATAACACACTTATATCGTAATATACTATTAAAATATTTAAAACCATCGATATATAAATTTATGTTTTAAACAAATAAAAATAAATGAAGTTTCAATTTCAAATTAATGTTTAAAATAAGAACCTAGCGATATTAATTTACTAAATAAAAAAGTAAATTACATACATTGTAATAAAGAATGACATTTATTTCAGATTTGCTACAGTTTTGTGTATACTGCGCCTTCGTACTATCTGACTGGACAACCTCAGGAGTTATATCGATTTGCTATGTTCGCTCTGGTGTTGGCAATCGTGACGGTACTAGCCGATGCTATTGGCAACGTTATAGGAAGCTGTACTGATCCTGTGGTAACGTATCTAACTTTATCTTTTTATATAATTGGAATGGCAATGAAGCCGACAATCAATATGATGGTAAATGGTAAAAGGCCCCTGTAACAGCACTAAGGAAATAATATTATCGTGTGACTAAGACTGCCTTTAGTCGAAACACAAGTAACAAAACAATTTGCGTCTCGGCTGAAATAAGTAATACTGAGATGCAGAACATTTTTGTATAAAAGCTTCCTCAATCGAAGTGAGTACCTGCTTTTTTATATACAGATAAGAGTACAAGCAAAGCAAAAAGGATAGAAGCCTATAACTTTCTTTTCATATAAAATTACTCGTAGAGTATAAAAACAACTTTAAATGTGATTGAAAATATTATGATTACCATTATTAAAACTACTAATACAGTATTATGAATATTATACAGATCTATATACGAAAGTATAATTATATATGTAGGTACATATGTTTTTGTTTATGTGATAGTAATGGTCAGCCCCGGATCTAGGAGGCAACACGGGACCCATGTCCCGGGTGGCAAGTCCTAGGGGCGGCAAAATCAAACTTGTTGACCAAATTTTTGACGCACCTTTGACAACTTGACCACTGACATACGGACGTCAAGTAAATTGTGTTCAAAGCATTTGAAAATGAAGATACAACTGTTAAAAAAACATCAATACTAACTGGACAAATTGTATGTTAATATGTAAATTGCTAAAATATTGGCACGAGGGATAAAGCGGCGAAGTATTAGGGTGCTGCTAATAATCCGCAATTAGTCGAGACTGCAACAAACGCGGTGTTTCATTGTTTGTTAATCAACGTGTGCTTGTAGAAACGTTTGCATCGATTTGCCATGTACAAGGACATATTTATATACTTGGATGCAATCACGCGATCCTCCTAATTGTATTAACTTTGTAACACAATAGTATAAAGAGTGTTAAAGTTATAGTCACAGACACGCTAACTTGGCATTCAATCTTCATATAACATACTGTCACAATCTAATATATTATAATTAAATTTATCGATACATCTATTTATAGTGTGTATACGACAAACCATTTAAAAGGAATAAATAATTAGAGCTTATTCACACTGAAAATTTAACAAAATATGCGAATAGTGAATTGTGTACAACTAAACGTGTCTAGTCTAGAGATGCAACATCGTTCAAAAAAAACATCGTTGTTTTTAATATTTTGAGCCTCTTGAAAATGTGTTTTAAAAGAAGAGTGAGATCTGTCAACGAGAATACAGGATAACAGGCATGATTGATGATGCATCATTTTTATTAGGATTGGCAATGCATATGCTCTATATGTATATATACTATTTTAAATTTGACTCGGTCATTATTTATACGTATTTAGTAAAAATTGCGGGGTCTAATCCGAATCCCGATATTAAACCCCAGTTTACCCGTCATCATGGCGGTTGAAACACTACTGAAATATCGAAAACTCGGTAAATAAAACTGGCTAAAATCCCGCGATATTATGTATATAGGCGAACATTACTACTTACCATCAGATAGACTATCGACCATCAGAGTAAATGCTCTTCCTTTATCAAAAAAAAATTACATATGTTGACACTTTACTTACGGTATGGTCTATTAAAACATAGAGAGAAAAAAAGTATATCCATAGGCTATGCTAACCGTTAATACAGATGAGCAATATGATCGATTGCCAAAACTGTAATAAAAAAAAATTCCAGAACGGCACATTCTTCGGTGCTGTATTGACGGCGGCTATGATCCTGTACTCTGGTTATGTGGTCCTGTTCTCGGATATGAGCGCTACAATGCGCGCTGTCTCCCACATCTCATTCATGAAGTATGGATTTGAAAGTATGGTGCTATCCGTATACGCATATGGGAGACCGCCATTACCTTGTCCTGAAACTAAAGATTATTGTCCTATAAGGTGAGTTCATAAGGCTTTAGTAATCAAGAGAAATTGGATCCATGGGGTGAATTTATTTCGTATGATAAGGGAATGGTGCACCCGCCTGCGCAAACAGTTTACGCTGTTTTCGCCAATGGAGGATGATAAGTTTAGCATGAAGTCAGGTCAGTTAGCCCATCGTGATAAATTCAACATGAATTTAGCTAGCAATGGAGTTATTTGTTCACATTACCAATATAGTCACTTAGCTTGGCGAGACTTCGCTTCGCTTTGTGTGTTCTACAGATTATACAACGGAATGTGTTCTGAGGAATTGTTCGACATGATGCCGACGGCCACCTTTTCACCATCGACAGGGAATTCATCCCCACGCGCTGGAACCTAAGTGGTCCCGAACAGTGCGGTTTCAGAGGCTTCCTCCCGCGTACACTTAGATTGTGGAATTAACTTCCTGCCGAGGTTTTCCCACGAGACTACAGCGTAGGGTTTTTCAAGAAGGGCATGTTAAGGTTTTTTAAGGGTAGGCAACGCGCACGTAATACCCCCCCTGGTATTTCAGGCGTTCATAGGCTACGGTAACCATTTACCATCAGATGGGCCGTATGCTTGATTGCCACCATCGTAGTTTAAAAAAAAATCTACTCCACCTTGAAGGAGCAAATAATGACTATTCATGGAGCATATTATATTATCTGTGTATAGAGCAAGAATTATGTTTAAGGACAGACAAGAATTATGCTCATGTTTAAATTCTGTGTTATTTAATTTATTACAGACATCCTACAGAACTAATGAAGATATTCAGCTTCGATAAGGACAACTACTGGTCGGACATAGCTGTGTTGTTTGTGGCAAACATTATCATCAGAATTATAGCGTACCTAACATTGAAACGGACAATTAAAAGTACTGTAAGAGCATAAATTCAATGTTTAGGTATATCAGTGCATGCATTTATATGGTGACACCAAAACTTAAATTTAGAAAAAAAAAAAACCAAAACTTATTCTTGTCATTCCATTAGGTTTATTTGTAGCAATTATTTGTAGATATATTGCAATCTTTGTATTATAAGTAACATCTATTTCCAGCCGCATAAAAGTATAATTTGATGTTGTATGTATAAATATTATTTAAGAAACGAATGTATCATTGTAGTGATCATAGATATATTTATTGTACACCAATACCTTGCCCTTAGCTTGTATATGTTAACTTAATACATAGTCGTGGAATGTACGTTTGACACAGTAAAACTATTTCTCTAATGGGTGCATAAAATTCGCCCTCTCTTATTTGTTATATCTTGTAATGTTAGTATAGAAAACCATATAGTATCTTATACCGGAACTCCCACCTAATGTTTCTTTTATTTATTACTAGCTACTCGCCCCGGCTTCGCACATGTGTACATGTATTATATATATAAATCTTCCTCTTGAGTCACACTATATATTTAACAAAAAACCGCTTCAAAATCCGTTGCGTAGTTTTAAAGATTTAAGCATAGATACATAGGGACAGACAGCGACAGCGACTTTCTTTTATACTATGATAATGATTGTAATGAAGTGCAAATATTTAATTAATGCGTCTTCATTTATTACACCTATAAGTTATTGGAGTTCAAGCGATGAAGCTGTAAAAGTCAGTCAAAAATCAAAATTATTTATTATATGCATGTAATTTATTTATCACTATCCCCACCGGTCCAATTGGCTATTTCAATTGAGAAAATCGTGTAAGAAACTAGACTACCTACATTTTAATATTTTTTATCTTATTCATTAACAAAATTTCTAATTATAAGACGATGTTCCTCTACCAATTCTCTACCAATAACTTCTTAAGAAAACTGGTAATATATTAGTTGTATTTGCCTTGACGTAATATCAGCTATTACCTATCCTAGGAGAGTTAAGTACAGGTTAGCGATCTATGGATAAAATTATAACCCTTAATCAACACTAGACTTGAACTTTTTTGGGTTGTGTCGTTATTTCGTCATGACACGAAGAAATTAAAGAATAAAATAATTAACAAGAACTGAATTGTTATTACATTTAATTGACATTATAATTCTTAATATTTATATATTTAATAGGTTTAATTTGAAATTTTTAAATAATTCTACACATTAATTAATGACTGAATAAACTTAGTTAGCGTTTATTGGAAAGAAAGTAAGTTACAGGACCTAACTGCCTAACTGTACTGCACTTTTCCTCTTGGATTATGTTGCGTAAGCAATGTTGCCGACCTTAAAACATATAGCCTCGTACGATAAAGTAAAAAATGTTATACATACTCGTATACTCACTCGATTTGGCTTTCTAACATCGTACATAATTTTGACCGATTTTCGTAAATCAAGATCTCGTACAATTTTGTACGACGATCTAAATTTACTCTTACCGAAAATTAAATTCACATACATGTACCTACAATGATCACCGTAAGATTGGCATTCCTGCTTTTAAGTATACATACTTTATAATATTAAATAATACAGGAAATAAGAGTGCTTAAAGAAAATTTGCAGTTATAACATTTTTTAATAATAATAAATGAGGTTTATGTGACCATATGCCTAATACGCCAAGTAAAATAAGCCAAAGATGCGGATGAGTAAAGCTTAATTTATTATTTTATACAATGTATGTTTGAATGTACCACTGGAGTTGTTAAAATGCTATTGATACAAAAAGAAGCGCTTACATAATATTTTAACGCTTTATGCGAAGGTTGAATAAACATTTTACTGTTATGTTGTTTGTGTAAAAAATTAAGAATTAAAAAAATACAGGCCGTCGTGTCCGTATATGGTTGTATTCATAGCGATTAATCGATCATTTACGAACTTCTTATGTTAGAATTATTGGTAAAAACGCATTTTTTAAATTTTTTTATGTAAAAATGAGGTACTTAGATATGTATTTCCTGTTTATACTGGAACAGAAAAACAGGAAACATGCACTAGTTCAATGTCAGGACCTTATCCTGACATTGAACCAGTTCATGTTTGTATGTCATAATATTTTAAGCCTCTGGAATTGCGTGATACCATTGATATATTTTTCTCGTTGTTTCGTTCCCCCACATAAATTATAACTTTTTCATTAATGTTTCTTTTTATTTCAAATTTTAATTTAGTAGTCAGACAATATTATATACCATTTTTCGAATAGAGTTTCAAGCTTTAAGTACGTATTTAAAAGCTCGAAACTGTATTCGAAAAATGCATTGTTTTTTCTTACGTAAGTATATCGCAGTATCAAATTAGCAGAAAATAGCAATAAAAAAACCTGACAAGCTACACAACTACCATAGGACTCTACTCTTTAAATAGCAAAAAGAAACATAATCATAGCTATATATAGTGTTGAAGTTTCTTTGAGCAAGGTCCCAGTTTCGATTATCGATGAGACTATTTTAGAAAATAAACTTTTGTAGATTAGCACTGATCTGTGTTCTAGGCTGTGCCTCTAGATATTTGTATTATAATGTTTTATAAAATTAACACAGGGTATCTTAGTTATAAGACATTTGTATAATTGTGGAAAAAAATAAACTAGTACAACTGCAACATACCTAAAGGTAATCAACTTTTTTATACGTAGTATATAGTAAACAATCTTAGCATTATATGTAAAATAATAGTGCATTATATAATATGCCATAAACGACTAAAAAGGATTTCATGATAGTTAACTATATATTATTTATTATTGTATAATATTTTTTATTTGTTTTCCTTTTAAGTATTATTTAAATATAGAATAAGTAGGGAGTAAATGATAAAATTACTGTAAATACAGGTATCGGTCGGTAGGTACTTAGTTGTAATATTTTTTTAATAATAAGATAATATTGATATAAATCAATTGCTTTTATATAAAATAAAGGAACACAATACAGTCTTGGTGTTTTATTGTTAATTTGAACTGGACGAGCAGGAAAATCTAGTAGGAACCTAACTTAGAATAAATCACTGTACGTGACTCATATTAAGAACTTTTACCTACTGCTACATAAAATGGAGTCACCAGCTTGTACACCATTAGCGTAGGTAGGATTATTATTTCCCCGTCATCTAAAAACCCACATATCCAGCGTAACGTGCTATGTTGCGAGTAGAAAGTAAATTGTGCTTGTGACAAATACAATTATTTTTTCTTTTTTTTTTAACCGTACTTTACAACAACAATTATAAGAAAATAAAGTCAAATTCATAAATTACATTGTCTTATAAATAATGGATTAAATTCACTTTACTATAACCCTATTATCACAACGCTATATAGTTCAGTCTTCTTAAACAAAAATATTAAAATGTCGCTTCGTAATGAGCTGATATACAAGGCTTGCATCCGTCCCATCCTCACAAACACTAATCCCGTCCTCACCTATACCTATAACTCTTAGCCAAATAAATCAACTGTAAATGCCACAAAATACGCAATAGCATATGTTAATCTGCCCACCATCAAACACTTCATGAAGGAAGCGTCTTGGTGCTACTTTAAGTGCTCCCAATTGCTCCCAAACTCGCTTATACAGACAGTATGATTTACTATGCAACGAGGAGACATATCATTGCCCCGACAACGTCGCCCGAGGTATGTTCTGGTTGAGCGACCCCATTACGCAGCTAAACTACTGGTGCAATAGTTCCGTCCCTAGCACGCTATCACAGGGAGGGAAGGTGATTGTTAGTAATGTGGACTGTTGACCCCATTGCTAGCAATGCACCATGTCAGGTTGACCTTCACGCGGTTCTCCCTGGAAACCATCATGACAAATTCTTGGTGAATATGTCACGATGGGCTAACTGACCTGACCTCATGCTCATCTTATCATCCTCCACTGGTGCCCCGCCAGCGTAAACCGTTAGCACAGGCGGGTGCACTATTCCATTATCAAACATAAAAAAAAAAACACGCTATCACACAAAAACACGAAACCATCCTCGCCGGCGAAGATGACGACCTCTACCACACCATACAGCGCAAGAGTGCTCCACACCGGCGCCTCCGGTCGTCCCAGTCCAATTCAACTGGGGATGGAAATTAGACAAAGTTCAAAACCCTAGTGGTGCCCTCAGACTAAAGTTAGGTTGGGAGTTGGGATTTGGGAATGCCATCTGCACTAGTACCCTAACGTTAGGTAAAGCTGTATATAGCTGCTGCCCACAGCAATGCAATAGTTAAAAAAGAACTTCACAATTTCACTTTGACAATACTGTCTGTTATGTTTTTTTTTCATATTCGTCCATATACTGTCAGTTCTATTTGACAAGATTTTTTGCTAGTGTTTCCAACTTAATATTTATTAAGCTAAAAAAAAAATCTTCTCATTGAACAGCTAACAAGGAAAAACTATGAATTCAAAAAAAAAATCTCTCGTTAGTATATATATTTAAAATTATTCACTTTATAATACAACTTGCGCATGAATTCATGAATAGTATAGCAATTTAATTAAAAATTTGAATAAAAAAATAGTGAAATAAAATATTCAACCAATATTGATATACAATGTGGACTATATTTGTTTAAATTAGATATTTGTAATAAATTATTCAAATAATTAAATGGGTGATTATCGAAACGTACACAATTATAATTATAATTTTTCATGTACTCTACTACAATAATTCTCTGTTAATTATATTAAATATAAGTCTAGTCTTATTTTAATGCGGTTTAGCCTGACTATCTGAAAGCAAGTTCGCAACACTGGCACCCACGCAAAAAGTAAACAAATTCTGTTATCTTCGAGATAATTCTGTTTTAATAAAATAATTTAGTCTGAATGTTTTATCGTCACCTAATTAAATTGTGTGTTGAGTATACACGCTAGATAAGTATAGTTACCGAAACTTAAACAAAAAGTAGACTGCTGCTAAGAAATTGAGGAGAAAAATGTAAGAGATTACTGTCCTTTGCAGTACATAGATTTATATTTAAAAACTTACATCCTTTAATTATATTTATACTACTTAAAATGAATTATTATATATTAAACTAAACATTTTATTTCAGGTTCAAACTACTCATAGTAAGTTTAGCTGTAATTGGAACAGTTAACCTAAGCGATGTTAATTACTACCAAATTTTAGGTGTATCTAAACAGTCATCAACTCAAGAAATTAGACAAGCTTATAAAAAATTAGCTATAAAATTTCATCCAGACAAAAACTCGGTAAGTGCATTAATTAATATTACTTATAATATATATATTTGCCAGTTATTTTCAATGTATATTATTACTGTTATTAAACTTCACCTACACTTTAGTCGCCCTCTCATTCCATAAACGTAAGTACTTTCATTTGTATACTATGTAACCCCGAGTCGGACATTTTAATAATAATCAGTAGCACACAAGAATTGACTTCATTCCTAGTCTCAATTTTTTTATTTGGCTCTAGCTATCATTATTTAATTATTTTGTCCATAAAAACTCTTATAATTTTATCTTTAAATATGTTTTATGTATTATTATTGTATAGTATATAAATAAGTCAAATACTTCAATATATTTCATAAAGCAAAATTATATATTATATATATATATAATAAAATAATCTGCTAACAGTTTCTTTTTAAATTTAGAATAAAGGAGAACAAGAGAAAGTTATTAAAATCACAGAGGCATATGAAACCCTAAAAGATCCAGAAAAGCGACGCAATTATGACCTTTACGGAACATTCTCTTCGTACACAAGAAAGCATGACTATCGATCACAGGCTGAGTATAATAATTTGTTCTATAATGGTTTGTACCATGATGATCCCAATGTGGATACATTGTCAGGACATAATTTCTGTGAGTACATTCTTATTTATTTATTCATTCTTTTTAGTTTACTTCATTCATTCTTTTTAGATTCTTTTTATATTACCTATGCATTGTAAATAAACTGGCTTTTAAAAAAAAGTAATTCAATTGAGTTTGTTGCCAGTTCTTCTCAATTGGATCTATATACCGAACTGGACAGTAGGGGAAAAAAATTATAATGTAAAAACTTTACATTCATAAGCGGCTAAAATGTCCTACATGAATAAATGATTTTTTAATTTACTTTAAATCCCTATATATTTGCCTCCCTAGTTGATGACCAGTGGCAGATAATAAGCTGAAGATGAAGTCAGCTCATTTAACCAATTATTACAAATTCTCTATATTTACTACAATAATATTATGAATATTGCTGTTTTTTTAACATAAGTCAAGATTTTTATGACAATTATCCATAATTATAATTGACATTGAATGTTAACATTATACAATTATAATATTGTTAGTTAGAAGAAAATTTACAATTAGTTTTGCTTTATTTGAAGGGAGACTGGAATCCTCATCTGTGAGGATAGAGAGAGGTGACTTATAAAACCTTGCAATATCTCAGATAATTCTGTGGCATATTTATTGACTTTTGATATTCGAATAATCATTCGAAATAATATTACTGTTTATTTCTTACAGATAATTATCTAAATGAAGGCTTCTATTTCATTAATTTCTACTCACCATTTTGCCCGCCATGTCAGAATTTAGTAGATCACTGGAAAAAACTAGCAGAAATATATAAGGGTGTTGTAAGTATGCATTACTATTGTACAAAATTATTTATACACTAATTGAAATCTAAATAATATTTTTTTTTATTCTGTCACTCTGAATGCAGATGCAGTGAAGAACGTATCTAGTTCACTCTTTTATACAGATGAGTGTTCATCTTTATGGTATTAAGATTTTGTGTGTTATAAACTAACTAATGACATCAGAAACTAACAAATACTAAAATATAAAATAAGTTGTTAAAACAAAATATTCATGATGATCGGAGCACACCAGTCTCTACAAGTAGCACCGATTCACATGTAGGTATATAATAATTTACATGTTTTATACACAAATTTATATATATAAAAATTATGTGCCACAGTTGTGTGTGCGATGGACTCCTAAATTACTGAACTGATTGCAAATTTGACTTGCACTTTGTGTGCAATTTGATACAACTTAAAAGATAGGATAGCTTACATCTCCATTTATATTATTTTATTCAACAACCTTAGCCATAGCAACGCATGGCCATTTCTGCTAGTCTTACATATATCAACATTTAATGTGGTGTGTGTGTGATACATCAATATCGGTAAATTTGTGAATGATGATGAAATATTTAAAAATAACTAACAGTTGACAGTAAATACTTTACCTTTAAAAATCATACTTTTTTATTTGGTAAATTTTGCCCTAATTTGTGATTTAAACATACATAGGACAAAATAAGTTGAGTAGTAAGAATACTTATTTTGTTCTGTGGTTTTAGATTATAGCCATTATTATTAGCCATATAGTTTTAAGTAGTTAATAACTATAACTAATAATTGTTTATGTTTTTTTATTTATTAACATATTTATATTTATTTAAGTAGAATTTCTAATCAAGTCATCTGCATATCTATTTCAGCCTAGTGCAGCTTGTATTGTGAACTGTGTTTCGGTTGTAGGGTTCATATTTGGCAGTGAAATGAAAGTGAAATTACAGGATAAGAGGTATGACGTCTTAGTCCTGTGTAGTGCTGTCACGAGTATCACGTTATAACACGATGTCCATAGTCTTGTTCATGAATATAGGTGTTTGCCATTCCAATTAAAAAAATATATTATTGACATTAGCTACACTCTCTCTTGCATCTTTTTTTTTATTAAATTTGGGGCTTTTTTCTATTTGTGGTACGTCAATTCCATCATACCTCTCTTATGCATGCTCATAGACAACCATTATAAATATTTTTATTGTTACAGGTAAAAGTAGCATCTGTAAATTGCAAATACCATAATTCATTCTGTTACAACTCAATGAGAATAGGCAGTTATCCATCACTGCTATTTTATCCAAATGTAAGTAATAGAGGGTTTACAGAATAAAATGAGGCACAATAGGTTGTGAAATATGAGGGACATAAGTACAGGAAGTGAATTCTATTGATATTAATGTTTACAATTTTCTGTTACTGTATTTATTGGATTAAGTCTTTTTAATTATATTAACAGATCTTATAATTAACTGTTGTTAATATAAACTAGACATATAGTCTAGCTTTCTGTTTTCTGTGTTTAGATCTGCCAATTTTATTTTATAATAAATTAAAAATGAATGGGATAAAGACAAGGCAATGATGAATTAATTAAAAAATAGGCTATTAATGTGGCTGCCTGTGGACTGGCTATTATTTTTTAATTGGACAATTTTTTTTATATTTCTCAATTAAAAACTTACATAAAATTAGGTTTTACTTCTTTGTGGTAGTAATATAGACGAATGCTTGTCTGTTTTAGGGTAAGCACGGTAATTATGTGCACTATCGCGGTGACCGCACAATAGAAGCACTGGATCAGTTTGTTATGACGTATCTAAGAAGCCGTGTCCACGTGCCCACGGTCTCACAATTGAGGAGCAAAGATGCACCAATGGCTTATGTGCTGGGTACCAACAGGATCGACAGAAATTCCTTGACAAGGATTGCTTATCATTTGGTGAGATCTTAACACTTGCCTTTACCTGTGACTTCATTTGCCATATTTCATGCATGTAAAAAAATATATTTACCCACACTAATATGTGACTCTCTAGTTTTCAAGTAATGATTTATAAATATTGTTTAAATTTTTTGCAAACGGGATTCGTCGTTGTCTGATACAATGTTTCATCATCGGTAAGCATTAATTTCCCTAATCCCTTACTATTTAAAATAAAATAATCAGGGGCAATTACCAGTATAAAAAGAATCGTCCTATCTTTAAAGTGCGGACACATTATTCGGCCCCGTTCTGATTGCGTTAGTCCCAATGAGTGCGGCAAACAATTGCACCAATCGAACAGAGTCGCATGGGACAATCCGACTGAACTTAATATAATCTGTGACCCTACTATGTAACCAACTTTTATGATATTTTTTCATCTCCTTAATTCAATCTAAGTCGGATCTAATGACACCAAGAGGAAAATATAAAAGATGGTTACATAGTTTCCAAATTAATATATAATATAATATCCCATACAAAATAGAGATTTTTATATGATACTATAAACGTTTTTAACAGACATTTTGCTTACCCTTTTACATCCTAATCTATCTGGTCGTTTTCAGAATAATCTAGTCACTCTAGCTATAGTTGAAGACGACAGTCTACGTGAGAAATTGACAAGAGATGAATATACAACAGTTGTATACAGATATAAGCAAGATAGCATAGAAATTCAGAGCACAGAAGAGAAAGATATCCTTAAAGAAATTGTTGACGCACTACCAAAGACTGAGTTGATAGACCCCAATACATTAAAGGTTTCTATATATTTTTTTAATTTTAACATATCAATTTAAAAAGATTTCATTCAAGTAATGTACGATGTTCCTGAATAAAATCTCTTGGATTAGAAAATTAAATTCAACTTTATTGTATTGATATAAGGTTTCAATTTTGAAGTAAGGTTTATTGCACAATACTGTCATGTTTTATCGTCAAATTAGAATACAACAAAACTATTCTTATATAAACATAGGCATGTATTCTTTTATCAAACTTTTTTTTTCTAATATTACAGAAAATAAGGAACAAACTTCGAAGTGGCCAGTCAACACCATGGGTGTTGTATTTTTCGAAAAAAGGACATAACAGACTTTTGTTGAACAAAATGCGGTTGGAATTTCCCGATTTGCATTTTGGTGAGTAAACTTTTATTAATGAGTATCTTTTTATCACAGTATTATTTTATTGTAAATGAAATAATTTAGATAGTATGTAGTAGTATACTCATAGCAAGAATGCTATGTTGTATACACCCAGATTCACCCAACGAAATATGGCCATGTCATGTGTTGCCTTCACCACGGCGTAGTTGTATGAGAATACCTCTGACTACCTCATTTGAGATAATAGTCGTAAAGGGTATAAATATGTTTTTTTGAAATGAAATGAAATATGAAAGTACCTACAGTATTTTCATATACAGTGGACCCCCGGTTATCCGACAATCGGTTTGCAGGGCAGTGTCGGACAATCTAATTTGTCGGATTATAGCGAGGCCGAAGGAGTCCCCTATAGTCTGGAATTTTTTACAAAAGAGTAATCCGACAAATTACAGATCCAGTGATAAGATTCTATGTTATATATGTATGTATGTATATGCACTGTGAAGTACAAATCTTACTTCATTATGTACATATAACAATGAACACATGCTATACCGCACCGCTATCTTCATCACATGTAAGTAGTCAAATTCAACAAACAAAGCAATCATAATCAATAATACCCTACGCGTCGAGTACAACAGTAGTGATACGTACATCTTCAAACTTATTCAAATTTGTCCAATCATGCATTAGCGAAGATTGTGAAAAAGTAATAAATAATAGACCATGTCGGATTACAAGGGGAGCCGGATTACCGCGGGTTCACTGTACATATGGTGCAAAACTATTAATTTTAAATTACCAACACTTAATTTTTTTTTATTCCTATATATTATTATTGTATGATGTGGCGAATTTCAGGCGAAGTTGACTGCGACAAATGGGGCGAGCTATGCGCGTCATTACAAGCAGGGGGTTTGCAAGAACAAGCAGCGTGGGGTATGCTCAAGCACGGCGGTGCGTACCAACGAGCAGCTGATACTGAAGATATAAAAACCTTCATCAGCAGTGCTGTACTGACCACCAGGCTCCAAACCTTGTCAGCTTCTGATTTGACGCGAATTCTTGACGGAGGTAAATATATCTTTAACTGACAGACTATCACATAGACTTTGTTCAAAGTCGTCTAAATACAATAGTGTGCATCACAGTTTTATAGTTGAGTTTATTTAAAATGAAGTGTGTTGAAAAACCTCGTACCTTATACTTGAGTATTTAATACCGTCAGCTCCTCTATTACGCCCTCGCCTACGGCTCGTTATGAAATTTCGCCTTGAGTGTTATAAACCCTCATAACGCACGTATATCGTAATATACTATTAACCACTTTTTATATAAATATATAATAACTAGCTGTCCCGGCAAACGTTGTTTTGCCTAAAAATAAAAAATAAAAATTATGGGTGGACTATTTAAATATATTCTCAGACCTACTCAATACGCTCACAAAATTTCATGAGAATCGGTCAAGCCGTTTCGGAGGAGTATGGGAACGAAAACTGTGACACGAGAATTTTATATATAAGATTTAATTACATACAATTCTGACAGATATGGGCATTTGGATTCTGGTCGTCATACCCTATCAACTTCCGTGGGATCACATCGCGCAGACGTTCTCTCGGATAAATTTGCACTACGAAAATTCAGAGAATCTGAATGTAAGTACTATGCATTATTTTATGATTCAATTATAAAAACGAGACACCATTTCATACATGAATATAAACGTTACTTAGCACTTTTTTTTCAATTTTGTCAAAAAAATAAAATATACTTCTTTAATCTTGATGCATGAAAAAATTGCATATCAGTTGATGATCACTATTTATTATATTTATTAATAGTTTTTATTCTGATAGTGAAGTTGAATGTATTCTTGTTTATTACTATTTCACTGCCTCGCTTCGTCAGCTTGTATTAAGACATAGACCTCCTCCAATAGACTCCAACTTCCTCTGTCCAACGTTTTATTTCTCCATGTTGATCCAGTCACTGCCCTTATATCCTCCCACCTCGATTTCTGTCGCCTTCGTTTCCTTTTTTGATCTCTTGGATACCACAATCTAGAATATCCGTTGTTTTCTTTGGAAGATGATCAGTATAAGTTGTTTCAAATTATATATATTAAGTAGGTATATATATACAATGGTAGGCATGTACATGTATATGTACATACATATGTATAGGTATATACAATTAGGTATTTTATAATTCCTTTTATTCTTTAATTTCAGTTCGGCATTATGTCCTGTACATTAGAAACAGAAAGGATTTGTCGAGAATTGGCCCCAAGCAAAGCCACAGTATTATTACAAGATAGACGGAAACGACATGTATACAGCGGGAATATTGAGGAACACAGCCTGCTGGAGTATATACAGTTGATTATGGATAGTGATGGTAAATAAACCTGTATATATTTTTTAAAGCTTAAGAATATGTTGAACTGTTTGTATTTATAGCCTATGTTGTTCTGATGTATAAAGTAGGTTATTATTGTATATTGTAAAGTTTAGTTAAATATATTCAGTAGTTTTGCGTGAAAGAGTATTCATCCACGCTCACAAATTTCCGCGTTTATAATATTAATAAGATTTCTTCTCTTCATACAAACATAAAATTCACTGAAGAGAATATTTCTCTTAACGGCATATTCCATTTTCCAGATTTGGAGTTAGACGAGCATCAAGCGCTAGAAATTTTAGACGCGTCGATGCGCGACCACACTTGGCTGGTGGCGTACTTTCCGGCTCAGTGCGGACGCGTGTGCGATCAATTAGACCACGAATGGCGTGTCGTTGCACAAAAGGTGAGTACCTTGACACTCATATATATTTATTTATTCTTTATTGAAGAAATAAAAACTTTTGCAGAACAGGCAAGCTTAGTGCCGTAGGCATTCTCTACCAACTAACCTAGTGTATAATCAGAAAGTGTTGTGGGGTAATTTCCAACTCGCCATGATTGATATTTCTCTAGCAGTAAAAGTGATTTATTTATTCAGCTTAACAGTGTAACAGCTTAGACCACATCTTCACTTAACTTCAGGTGAGATTGCGGTAAAACGCGCTCAAATTTAGGAATGAAAAGTTGGGTAACATAATTATATTATTAAAGAGAGATTATATATTTACCAATATATAATTATACCTTTACTAATATTAAAACATTCACCAAAATAAAATACCGTAAAACCCTTATAGGTACAATATTTTTCGCTACTTCTGCATGTATTTTTTTTCCATTTTTAAGTAGTGTTCAGTTTGTGATGAGTTGAGAAGAATTTGTAAATAACTTTACTCGTTAATTTTGTATATGACGCAATTAAATGTTTATTTATAAAAATTAGTACGAAATATCATCAAAACCCGTTCAGTAGTTTTTGCGGGAAAGTTTAACAAACTCATAAACTTTCGCATTTTAGTAAAATTATTAGTAATTTTATTTTTAAAATAGCATAGTGTAGTATATTTATTAAGTTTCTTAATAACATTGTTTTCTTGACTAGTTGCGACCATTGGAGTTCGTTCGTGTGGGTATATTGCGATGCAGTCGCGGCGCGGGCGGCCTGTGCACAAATATACACGCACCCAGCGCTCGTCTCTACCCTCTATCCGCTGCTCAACACTACTCGTAAGCAATACTACAACAATGTCACTCCTTACCTTAGAGAAAATAAAAAAAAAGTGATAGAATGACTTATATGCAATGTCAACCTCGGTGGGTTAGCGGTATAGCACACTGCTTTACTTCTGGTGGTCGCGGGTACGATTCCTCGCACGAGACAAACATTTGTATTCATAAGTATGGTTCTTTGTATTGGTTTGGGTGTTTTCTATTTTTTTTTTTAAATGCATATATATATATATATATATATATGCATTTAAAAAAATGTAAGTATGGTGGACCCCCGGTTATCCGACAAACATTTTGCAGGGCCGTGTCGGCCATCGAATTTGTCGGATTATAGAGTGCTGCCTATTGTCCGGATTTTTTTACAAAAGAGTATCTTATAATCCGGCAAATTACAGATCCAGTATATGCACTCTGAAGTATATTGTCAAAAAAATAATAAATAATAGCCCATGTCGGATTACAAGGGGGGCCGGATTACCGCGGGTCCACTGTACCTATACCTATCGGTTATCTCTCATAACACAAACTGTTTAGCTTTAACCTACATGGCACTATGTAAATAATATATGGTATAGATTTGATATTAATTACCTAATGTGTTACTAAAATCTTATATAATATATGATTTTTGTATACTTAGCATATAGCTTTATTATTTATACCACTTTTCTAGTACCCTATAGGATAAATTCTGCTTGGGACTAGATTGCACTGTGTGTATTGTCCAGGTTTATGGTTATTACTCACTCTTCTTGTGATGAATTTGCGTTCCGAATGAGTGGTAGAATAAAAAATATGACTATTCAAAAGTGCCTGTACTGAGTTTAAATAAATAAAGATTATTTCTATTATTATTTATCTCCAGAATAAGCCTGCAACACCTGTCTGAAGCACCATACATATTGGAGTGGGCAATGGGTCATATTGACGATTCAGTAGAAAAACTTAATTGGCAGACCTTTAGCAGAAATGTTATCTCTGAGGACTTACATACCAGGTAAGTAAATACTGAAGCTATTTAATAATATTAATTTACAAATTGTTAGATAAGTTAATTGTTAATCCTTTAATGTGGATGCCTGTATATTGTAGGTGTAAGATTTTTGTATGTGTAACACTATAATTTTAAGTTACTTAATACGGCAGAATGTCTTTTATGGTGAAATATATAACTCGCCAATCCTTTGCTGTCGAGAGTATATTTGATACAAAATCATAGAATAAATAAAAACACAGAAGTCAAAAATTGTACATAAAAAACAAGGTTGGGGATTCGGGGTTATGACCAGTTCTTATTTAGATTTTTCTTACTTCTTTACAAATACTGCCTTAACCTAACCTGCTTAACCTAGTTTAAATATTAGATGCATATTTAGGGGAGGCTTTTCTTATTTTTTTTATTATTTTTATTTTTTGTTTTTTCTGTTTATTGCTAATCGTCACTGGTTTTATTTGATCCCTTGCTGAGTGTTATTGTTTTCAGTGACAGAAAACCATGGTTGGTGTACTTCCACTCTCCGCGGTGCTACAGGTGTTATGAGATGTACACAGATTTTGCTATAACTGGAATTGTAAGTATGCCATTTTATTACAATATTTATAGGTACTTGAAAGGCCAATTTCAATAATAATATAATACATGTTTTTTCGTGCGTGATAGCCTAGTCACTTCTAAGTGTAAAGGCAGCTAAGAGCTGTATCAATTCTCGAAGAAATGAGTTGATTTATTTCTGATGTTGTGTATAGTTCATTAACTCCATTGTGGCTGCATATTAAAAGTAATATTTGCTGTGCGGAATGTTCATCAAGCCTATATTTTTATTGCAGTTACTCAACAACGCCGTACAATTAGGCAAAGTTAACTGCATAACAGACCGCGGTCTGTGCCAACACGAACAAATTACAAGTTACCCCTCCATCAAACTGTACCTCGGGAGGAGCCCGCGCCAACAATTCAGCAGCGTTATATCTTTCAAGGTCAAAGACTATACAAGTCTGATCAACGAGATCCAACCGCATTTGGTGAATTATGAGAACATATTATCAGGCGTTGATGATCTCGGTATAAGAGGCCAAGCCTTCCATGTTAAGCATGATGAGTTCTGATGTTCTAGAAAGTTCTAAAATATTTATAGACAGTTTATAGCATTGAGAAATTTAGATTCCCATCGCATTCAGATTATTATAGAGTTACGAGGTTTAGAAAATTTTAGAATGGCGCTTAATAGAATAAAGTCAATTAATCAAAAAAATACTAATTTAAACTAGGCTAGGTTTCCTATCAATAAAGAATGGGTATTAATGATGTTAAACTGAAATACAAGAATTAATGGTGTTAACACAAATAGAGGAAACAATATTGATATAAGAACAATCTCGAACAAATCTCTAATGACATACTCAGTGAGGCTAGAAAACTATTATTATTGTAATAAAATTAACGTTATATTTTAAGTTATATACCAAGTTATAAATAATAATGCTAACTCATAAATATTTTAATATGTTCCTGTCAAAAACATTAATTGAGACTTTCATACCTATTTATTACTAATCATTATATAAGTAGCAATACAATATTGACAAAACATACTTCTTTATATCTCACTAAACATAATGATGATTCAATATTTTTTGCTATTTTTAGCGGTTAAATATCTATGGCTGTAGTTAGAAGTAATAAACATACTAATTGTATGAAATAATATATTTTTATAGGGGAAATATAACAATAGTCCAAGCATGTTGACTAATTTATTGGTGCTCATGAATTCAGTTCAGTTCAGCCTCCGTTGCCTCGTGTTGCAAGCACTAGCTGAGCATGACAGCGCCCCTAGCGTGAATTTACTTAGCCTTATATCTATAGACAATCCTATATGAGTATAATTTCTACACAACAGTAATGACTGAATTTTTTTAAACTAACTTTAAGTAATTTTATTAATATATAATCTCAATAATGCAATCATCACAAATGTATGTTTTTATATTGCATAAAATACTAATTATTATTAGCATAACAATCTCGTACCAATTCCTATAGGTTTAAGCAAATTTGTCTATGATTGTTAAAATAAATATTTTAACAATCATAGACAATTTTGTATTACGTATAGTTATCCAATATTGTTTAATTTAATTATACCCATGAGTACACTACATTAAAAGGTAGCTATATTTGTGATATTATTAGAATAGAATATATTTTTCTCATTTGAACTAATATGTTATTAAGTATGAAAATATTGTTTAATGAAAGCTATTATTATTATTAAATACACCATGTTTGAGCAAAGCTGCATTTATAACCTGCATTTACAAATGTATTTATTTTTTCAACAGCTTTGTATATTGCTACATGTAATTCAACATTGTAATAATCTAAACATTTATTGTAGTCAAGTGTAATAATAATATAATGTAAGTATATTATTAATACTGTTGAATATACTGATAATATTTAGTAATATTGTTAACTGTTACAAAGATTTTAATCATTATCAATGGTAGTATCCATGAACGATACGATTTGTCATTTAAATGGTTGAGTCTATTTTGTCTATATGTATGTACAGCTGACTAGAATTCCTGAAGAACTGCCTTGGAATAAACAGAGGCCTTACCTTAATCTCTTCCAATAAGAACCGGACGACTCGGACCGACGACGCCGTTCGATTGGCGTATTGGTTGCTGCGCCCCGCCTTCTTTGTAAATGCGCCAATCGAAGAGTCTCGTCGGTACGATTCGTCCGTACCGAAACGTAATATCTTATAGATCGTGCCTAGTCTTATAGATTGTGTGCTAGCTTTTAAGCATTTCCTGAGCTGTATATATTTACATGTGACTTGTTGAATTTTAGCAGAATGGCAACGGATTTCCTAAATAATACGTAAAATTGTTTTATTATATATTTTTTTGTAATTTTTAATATATCACATTTTGTATAATTTTTCCTATGTGAGCATATTGGGAAGCTGTAGGGCTCGCTTAATTTTGATGTCAATAAATAAATTGTAGTACCAACTAACATTAGCTTGAAAATTTACAAGTAAAAACAAGTTTACAAATTTGTCTTAAAATTTTTTTTTACTGCATGTAAGATTTATTTTGGTGTGAGATTTAATTATCTCTATTTGAGTAGCTGAAGGAGTTGGTATATATTATACTCAGGTAGCTCTGAAAACCTACATATGCTTGGATCCAATCCTATAGTTCTTCTATTAATTTGTTTTGTAGAAATTATAGTTTTGATAAACATATCAATTTTCACAATGGACAAGCCTAACAAAATATATAGTAGTAATTTTAAAAATATATATAAAATAAAAAAAAACGCTTAAATAAAATGACATAAATACTTAAATTGTATTGTAAGGTAGCTTTCTAATAAATTGTTTTTTTTTTTACTAATAATCTTTCTGTTTTAAATAATACCCTACTTCTTTTTAAAGAATGATTTTTTTTTAAATACATACATATTATACATAGAAAACATCCAGACCGATACAATCAATTATACTCGTGAATATAAATGTTTACATCGTACAAGAGATCAAACCCGCGACCATTGGTGTGCTAAATCGGTAAACCACTGAGGCTGTCAATGATTATTAAACTATGTAAGGTAATGTTGATTAAATATGAGCCAGTTTAACATTGACCTTTGCTTACACATTGGAATTCGTTTACACCTCGAATTTGATTTCTAACTATATCTGACTACCATTAAGAGAATCGTATTGGTTGCTATTATTTTCTTTTAAAATAGTAAATAGTCTTATCTCCCGAGAGAGAGCAGAATATAATTCAGAAAAAGTCATTATGGTCATTTCTATTAGTGATAAATTCAATCAAAACTAATATTTTTTAATTTAATTATATATTTATTATTTTTAACATATTAATTACTAACTATGACACTAATGAATCACAGGCATTTTGACCAGCAACATCTGAAACAAACAACTATGTAGAAAAACTTTAAATCAAATGGATAGTCACAGTTCAAACTTATTTGGTATATGAACATAATATCAAGTTTATGTAACTAGAATGGCGATCAAGGTGATAATGTTTACCTTATGGTAAGTGGTAACCATTGCCTATATACATGAACATCGTCACAAATATTACGTTATGTGACCATACTGTTACTATTCTGAAGGATTAAGATGTTATTCCATACTTACCATTTTTTTCGGACTAGTTTATTGTTGTTAGCCGCAGCTGGGCTTTACAGCTTTACCGGCCAATAGGGTGCCAGTGCAGATGGCACTCCAACCCGCGGAAGGGTTTATGGAGGTCTCAGGCCGTCGTAGTTTCAATCCCCGTTTGAATTGGACCGGGGATCGATCGGGGGGATGCCCTCCGATCGATCCGCCGTCAAATACTTACCCTGTAATTTTATTACTTTATACCACCCTTCAACCGATACACGTCCGACTAAGAAAAGACTAAGTGGCTAAAATACGTGTGACAGAGATACTCACGAAAATGATTATGTTGCCATTGAAATGCATGCATACAATATCTTTGTAAAGTACTTATAAATTACTTTTAAACATTGCTTACGTCATTATTCCTATTTAGTTGAGCATCAATTATATCCTGATCAACACTGCAAGGTAAGAAGAAATCCACAAGATCGTATGTTCCTTTAGAGTCTAGAACTAAACGGTCTTTACCAACTTCCAAGTTCATATCTTTTAGCTCCATCTGTCGAAACAAAATATTAATCATATTTCATAAGACTGGAATAATTTGTGTAATGTGTGTTTGAAAATTTTGGTATACTATAGTTGTTGATCTTGTAATAAGATTTTGACCATACAATAAATTCTTATTACAAGTAAACCAGTGCAAACCCAAGATATGTTAAAATGTTATATTTTTACTATATTCAAGACTTACAGATGCAGGTATCTTGAATTCCGCTAATAAATACTCTATTTCTCCAGTGGGTGGTTCCCTTCTTAACCTATAAATTAATTCTCTCTTCTTTGTCACATTAATTTCTTTAATTTTTGCTGGCTTTTCCTGAATTTCCTCTATTACAAGTTACCCTTCCTACTTCTTTTTAAAGAATGATTTTTTTTTTAAATACATACATATTATACATAGAAAACATCCAGACCGATACAATCAATTATACTCGTGAATATAAATGTTTACATCGTACAAGAGATCAAACCCGCGACCATTGGTGTGCTAAATCGGTAAACCACTGAGGCTGTCAATGATTATTACATAGTTATGTAAGGTAATGTTGATTAAATATGAGCCAGTTTAACATTGACCTTTGCTTACACATTGGAATTCGTTTACACCTCGAATTTGATTTCTAACTATATCTGACTACCATTAAGAGAATCGTATTGGTTGCTATTATTTTCTTTTAAAATAGTAAATAGTCTTATCTCCCGAGAGAGAGCAGAATATAATTCAGAAAAAGTCATTATGGTCATTTCTATTAGTGATAAATTCAATCAAAACTAATATTTTTTGATTTAATTATATATTTATTATTTTTAACATATTAATTACTAACTATGACACTAATGAATCACAGGCATTTTGACCAGCAACATCTGAAACAAACAACTATGTAGAAAAACTTTAAATCAAATGGATAGTCACAGTTCAAACTTATTTGGTATATGAACATAATATCAAGTTTATGTAACTAGAATGGCGATCAAGGTGATAATGTTTACCTTATGGTAAGTGGTAACCATTGCCTATATACATGAACATCGTCACAAATATTACGTTATGTGACTATACTGTTACTATTCTGAAGGATTAAGATGTTATTCCATACTTACCTTTTTTTTCGGACTAGTTTATTGCTGTTAGCCGCAGCTGGGCTTTACAGCTTTACCGGCCAATAGGGTGCCAGTGCAGATGGCACTCCAACCCGCGGAAGGGTTTATGGAGGTCTCAGGCCGTCGTAGTTTCAATCCCCGTTTGAATTGGACCGGGGATCGATCGGGGGGGATGCCCTCCGATCGATCCGCCGTCAAATACTTACCCTGTAATTTTATTACTTTATACCACCCTTCAACCGATACACGTCCGACTAAGAAAAGACTAAGTGGCTAAAATACGTGTGACAGAGATACTCACGAAAATGATTATGTTGCCATTGAAATGCATGCATACAATATCTTTGTAAAGTACTTATAAATTACTTTTAAACATTGCTTACGTCATTATTCCTATTTAGTTGAGCATCAATTATATCCTGATCAACACTGCAAGGTAAGAAGAAATCCACAAGATCGTATGTTCCTTTAGAGTCTAGAACTAAACGGTCTTTACCAACTTCCAAGTTCATATCTTTTAGCTCCATCTGTCGAAACAAAATATTAATCATATTTCATAAGACTGGAATAATTTGTGTAATGTGTGTTTGAAAATTTTGGTATACTATAGTTGTTGATCTTGTAATAAGATTTTGACCATACAATAAATTCTTATTACAAGTAAACCAGTGCAAACCCAAGATATGTTAAAATGTTATATTTTTACTATATTCAAGACTTACAGATGCAGGTATCTTGAATTCCGCTAATAAATACTCTATTTCTCCAGTGGGTGGTTCCCTTCTTAACCTATAAATTAATTCTCTCTTCTTTGTCACATTAATTTCTTTAATTTTTGCTGGCTTTTCCTGAATTTCCTCTATCAGAGGTGACTTTGTTTTTTCCTCACAAGTCTGGATATCCCTTATTTGAATCCTATGAGATTGCAGAGTGCCTATTGATTTCCTATGTTTCAAAATGGTGTACTTAGTTATGTCAATTTCAAATTGGTATTTATCCTGTAATCCTTCAAACACAACAGTGAGAAAGAATGTTTGAAATAAATCATCTTTTTCTATTTTCTTAAAGAAATCTGGGTTTATAGCAACATCATAGACTGTAGCTGGAACTCCAGATTTATCCTGCTCAGTTCTACCTTCGCCTAAGCTCATGGGCACTCTGTAACTAGATGGGTCATCGGAATTGAGTATTTGCATAAGCTCATTATTTGTAATATCTCTTGGACAGGGTATTGCTTCTGTGAGACATATATTCACAAACACTTTTTTGTTATCTGGTTTGGTATAAGTCTTGACACAAAATCCTACAATGTTAAGACACACATATAATAAATTACAATTGCAATTTTAGTATTAGAAGAAAACTATAAATTCTACTACTTTATCTAATTAGCTATTTAAATTTAAAAAAATACCATAAATTTTTTAGAACCCATTAATAAACATAGAAAGTGACCATTTTGGAACTCCTTGATATAAGATTGTTTTTTTTTATTATAAAAAAACAATGTAAAAAGGAAAGGAAAGTATGCCCCCATTTTATAACTTCAAAATTATGGTATCTTTCAAAAATAAAGTTAATAATACCTGGTCTTGGTTTAACAAGCTTTGAAGGAACTGTGTCTACTGCTGATGACAGAAGTTTATTGAACTCCTCTTCAACTGGATTATCCTGCAAGAATAAAGAATTGTTGGATGTTTTTAAACTATGGGTGTAACAGTTTTAATCAAGGAAATGAATTTACTGACTGTAAATACACATAGTTTTGGATAACCTATTGTACTCACAAAGAAGTGAGTGTACAGTGAATTACTTGGAACAATTAATAATACATCTACTTAATTAACAAAATAGATTTGTAATTTCTTTTTTATGTGATTGGAATGACTAACAGGCTAACAACATTATTAAATAATATATATCTTCTTGATTCAGAGTTCTAAATATTGATTTCTTCATATTTCTTACATGCTTTAAACATTCTTATATATTTTTTTAAATAATACTAACACAGTGAAGCTTTTTCTACTTCTCCTGCACTGGAACCTTTTATACAGTTTTTTGGATAATAATAAAATGGTGAACCCACTTGAGGGAATGGTTCACACTGACGGGGTACCAGTGAAGGGTATTATGATGAGCATAAGGTCAGGTCAACTAGCCCATTGTGGCAAATTGTCCAGGAATTTATTCTGATGGTTTCCAGGAAGAACTGCATGGAGGACAACCTATCTTGGTACATAGGGTTGTTAATCCACATTACTTACAATCCCCTTCCCACTTGGCTCATCATACTGTTGAGTGTGTGCAATCAACCTCTGTAGCCCAGCTGTGGCACTTGTGTGTACATCTTATAGTACCATAAGCAAAGGACCAGGCAATTGGCCTTGTCCTATCATTATTCCTATTGGTTAATACTTCATAATCTATCATTGTTAAACATTGTGTGATTGTATTTAAAGTTGTTTCTGGATATTTTTATATTTTCAATTATTATAATCTACCTATCTCTTTTAATTTTTTAAATTTATAACAATAGTTTTTAACAGACAATTTTAGCGGGTATACTATAGGGCTGCAGTACATGTAAGTTTATTCTTTAAAAAAGTTGAAAATATTCTGGTAACCAAGGGAGCGGCTTTGCAGTAGCTATACTGTCTTTATATACTTAAATTATTGTTTAGATATTTTTATGTACAAAGTAGTTGATATTTTATTTAAACTATTTATTAATTATATTAGAAAAAAAAACAAATACCTAATAATTAATAATAGAATACAAAAAACTTACTTGAATGATTTTCATATTTCGCTCCATTATCGTTGGATCGACGTCCAATGTGATTGACTTTTTAGACATTTTTATTCAAATTTTCAATTATTTCAAATTAAAGAAAAGATTTTCTCGTTGAAATATAATAAGAGCAAATTATGAATATATGAACTGATATCAACTTCAACTATTATTTTATAAATATTTGTTTATTCTTTTTTAACATTTCTACGGGTCTGGAAGCAAGGCAAGAGTCTAAACCACAGAATTCTTTATGTTTATTTTGAATCATACAAGTAATAAAATAATTTTTATTTCATTTAATAATTAAATAAAATGGCTTCTCATATGAAATTAACGCACATACAAATTAACCACAGCGGTAGTTTACGGCGACGCGTGACGACGACGTGTGACTCACATGTTCTTCTCAGATTTAATGGAAAAATTTACAAGAACTTGATAAGTTGAAAAGTAATCGTCTATTAATGCGTAGGAATGAGGAGAATATTTTAAAGAAAGTTTTATATATGAATGTGAATGGATAAAAAGAAAAAAACGTATGACCGAAAAAGATATGAATGGACATGGTGTAAAATGATATGGGAAGAAAGAAGAACGATATGACTACGAACAGGGATGTATGGAAGAGAAAAAAATATTGCGCCGACCCCAAGTGAATAAGAACGTACGAACGTTTTGTCTTCTTTGCATAGTAGCCTAATACAGTTTTATGACAAGACTGTTATACTAAAAAAATTTGCAAACAAACCACATATTTTCAATAAAATGTGAACAAATTGTAATGTGAAGAAATATTTTTAGTACTAATAATTTGATTCATTTCTTATCGTACACTTATTTGTAGTCAAATATACATTGGTAAGAAAATATTAGGTACATATATATATATACCTGCAAGATATTACATTACATAAAGTAAGCATTACACTTATTGAAGTTATCAGCTTGTTATCTAAATGCTAATTTACCTAAAACCTTGTCTATATTAATCGACTATCGTAGTAATAGTTGTCGGAGCATCAAGCTGATTGTCTTACACTTAAGTTTCCTTGTACAAAATCGCCAGCCAGGTGGACTTTTAACAATTATGACCATTAGAAATCTGAAGTTCCTAATGGTCATAATTGTTTAAAGTAGTGAAGAATTCATGCAACATTATTTTTTTGTATCAATTTTAATCGCATCAATAAATTTTAATTTTAATCGTATTAAAATTGATACAAGTAATATTGAATGCATTGCCTAGAAATTTCTTTATCTACGAGTAAGACTTTCTTAAATATATTATAAGTACAAGGTTTGACAAACACTGCACGAGAGAAAAAAATTAAGTTAGTTACTCGTTTAACTTGGTAACCCTGATACTAAGTACGTCAAACGTCATGGGAACTAGGTCGTAAAAAATGGTCGATCTGTATCTATATTTGAATATTTTGTTATAATATTACAATCTTTTTCGATGAAATCCCTATTGTTGGAGCATAAGTGAGAGTTGTTCCAACGATGTCAATTGTTTGCAAAGGATAAATTGTACATAACCTCGGGAGCCATAGCAACGGTAAGGTATCCACGGAACAATTTGCCATATTTTATCTGTTTATACTTCCTTTTCTCCCATATTCCTTACTGATTACTTTTATAATTGCATATTCTTATGGTATTTTATCATTCAGAATATTTCTTTAAGTTGTATCATGTGAATTATATATAATATGCAAACATTTAAGTCACTCGTCAGCTGTATCACGAATCACGACAATATTAAGAGGTAGTGAATGTATGTACGTTGCATAAATATTGAAATAAATTATTTAGAATTAAAATACAAATCTCCTAAATTAATTGAACACCGATACTACTTATTAACCTATATGCCTACTTAAATATATTTTTTATTTATAGCAGGCCAATGAACTGGTATTAATCAAATATTTTTTTCAGTAGGTGGTTACACAGTTATGGACTGTAATATTAATCGTTCTTACATATTTCAATGATGCCTTACATAACCAAAGACATCCTAGTATAGATTTAATATTACAAAAAATATAAAAGATGTTTTTTTATCATGGAAGTGCCTATTGCCAATGCATAAATGTATATTTATAACTATGGTTTTTAAATAAATAATAACATAAAATATTTAATAACATATAAATACTCATGTTATTAACAGTGTTCTAGAAGAGTAAAATAGTCTTTGCTCTTTAAAAAGAAAGGTGATAACACTTTATAGTCTTGGGGGTGTGTATAAGACATATAAGTCTAATGTAACCCAAGCAAATGAATAAGGAATTATTCATAATTGTATATGACGCAGGATTGTATAATAGCATAAGCATAAAGTCAGACAGCCCATTATGACAAGTTCACTAGGAATTAACTGTGATGGATAGGAATTAACAGGAGGTACCCCATGGAGGTTGATTACATTACTAGCAATTTGGCCAGTAATTTCCATTATTAACAATCTCCTATCCTCCAATTTAAGGTGTTTAATTAACAAATATCTTGATTATAATAATATTTATTTATTTATTTACATAATTTGTACAAATTATATCTGAAGTCCCTGACTTCTAAGGTATGTATAGAAAATACATGGTTTGCAGGAGTCAGATAAATAATGATAATTGCTTTGCTATATAAAAAGTTATAAGTGTTACTTCAGTTTAGTCTTATTCTTATATAATTGCAGTTTGTGTAGAGAATGATTTACAATCCCATTTCTTAATAGTATACATATTATTTTTCCTCATTACTGTTATGCTCTGCTGCTTGAAAATTGTTTAATCTTGTACCTAATTAATTTATACTCCATACTTTATATGCAAACACTATGTTTGTGCATTCCAATGTACAAAAACTTTCATTATTCACATGATATATCATGTGGAGTTTTTTTCAGTGATATTAAAAAATGTGGATGATTGAAATGCTTCAAAATTACTTGTAAGGACTTGTTGACTTGTATAAATGTTTTGTAAGAGGCTAGACAGTGCTTATTTAGTGATTGAAATAATATTTACTCAATTAAATACAAATATTAGTAGTACTCCTTTTAGAAACTCATTACCTAAATGAACAGCATTGAGAAATGGATATTAATTGATTATAATATTAAGTTTAATATTTTTACATTCCAGGAAAGAGACATTCACTTATGGCATAATTATCCAAGATGGCAGACAATTATAGCCTGAACTATAATGTCAGAGAGCTGAATTTGGGAGCAAGTTTCACTAATAATAAAGCTTCACAGTATCACACAATCAAATGTGAGTAAATTGTATAAAAGTTGTGTAGGTTAATTTCATCTTGAAAGAGTGCTCTGTCTAAGTCAGATGTCTGGATTATCTACCATACATTATTTCATAGAGTACAGAGAGACATCCAGACTAAAGTAGCATAACTTGTATTATACAACTTTCAGTATGCATGATAAGTCTCCTTATTATGTTATCAATTGATTTGCATCTATACTACTGCAAAATAATTTCGATCACTAAAACATAAGACAATTTACAAGCTCTCACTTTATTGGTGAATTAAAATTTGTCCCCATAATTAATTAGCATAATTTGCAGAAAGTGTAATGTCAATGCCATGCTTAAATTGAAATTGACTCATAAAATGTTCGAAAAATGTGACACTACTTGTGTTGGGCGACACAGGCTGCGGTGGCTACTATAAGTACATTATTGATGACTCCACAAAATTTGTTAGTCCTTTGTAAAACTCTGTCACAGTACAGTTGTAAATGTAAATGTAAATTGGACTCCAGTCTCCGCAATTAGCCTCTCATTTGGGCTGTTGTGCGTGTAGACCCAGAGTACTAAAGTAGCCAGCCAAGCTCCTCCCAAAAGCGCAGAAGTCTCCTGGTGCCTTCACAGGCTTCACGGAGTGACCTCTCCATTCCAAGGATTTGTTTTCGTTGTGTGGCCACTGCTGCGCTCGCCAGCATTACGTGAGCAGCCATTCGCAGTACAGTTAAATATGTTATATGGAAAAATTACATATACTTGATAATTGATTGCATTAAATTTAGACTGTAATCTGTTTCAGACGATTTCAAACCCGCATCAGTTGATGTGAACAAAATGGCAACCGTTGATGTCGGCACTAATAATCAAGTGACGGTAACAGTACCACATTTAGGTAAGCTCTTTTAATCACATGCATATTCATTACGACTGCAATTCCATTCAACTCGACCTGGTTAACAGTAAAATGAATCAAATTATTTAACCATTATTATCAGCAATTAAGCATTATCAAAAGTAGACCTATAATTGGTATTACATTAAAACCACTTCTAAATCCATATATGCTATAATATATAAATTAGTATTTTTGATTCTTTATTTTTTTATGTGTTTTTGTTTTACCATTCCTGGTTTCTGACATTTAGCAGACTAATAAAAATGATGGAGCATATCTTGTTAATGAAAACATATAATAAACGGAATCTAATCCATTTATACACACATAGGACAATTCATACAAGGAGTTACTCACTATATATTCATAAAGGGGTTACATACTCTAGCTTTTGATTAATATTTTCTTAAATCATGGTTCAGATACATATAAAAATATTACAATATGTGCTTTCAGATGGTGCCGGTGTTCCCCAGACTGTATTCAAAGGAAGTCAAAGGCCTTATACAAAGGAATGTGTCCTTATTATAGACAGGGTTACAGGAGAAATGACCCTGGAGAAGCTGTCTAGTAATATACAAGTGAAAAAGACAAGGTGAGTCATAGTTACTGCTATGTTATTATTACCAATGATTTCCTGTTTGTTCACAGTAATTAATTCATATAGTTAGACACTGTAAGTACTTATATATATTAAATATAAAATATTCAAAGTAGCGTCATTAATTTGGACTCTCTGAATTTGCAGTTTAGCATACCACCTTACTTATAATGGTTGTGGGTTTAAATACTGGCATGGTACAAAGATATGTCTTCATTAATATTTTTTGTTAGTAATGGTCTGTGTATTTATTATGTATATTATATATTTACAAAAATATTAATATACGTATTTCCATCAATTGTTTAGTACCTACACCTACATAACACAAGCTCTGCTCTGCTTAGCCTGGGACTACATGGCGCTATGTGAATTGTCTAGTGTAATTAATCTATACATCTATACATATAAATAAAATTGCAGTGTCTGTTTGTAATATCGAAATAACCGTTTTTTACTACATGCATATTAATATATATACGGTACATATACCAAATTAACATTTTTTATAATTTTTGTCTGTCTGTCTATCGGTCTGTTTGTTCTGGCTAAACTTTGAAATGGCTGGACCGATTTTGACGGGACTTCTTTTAGTAGGTACCTGATGTAATAAGCAGTAACTTAGGCTACTTTTATTATAGAAAAATAAAGTTAAATTCTACGCGGACGAAGTCGCGGGAACAGCTAGTATTAAATAAAGTTATTCTGACTGAATTAAATACATATATAAAAATATTTTAGGTGTTGTACTTGGATTAATTTTTATTATCATTTAATTATATTAAAAAGTTACCTTATATTATATATCGCAATGTAAAGTGCCAATATCAGGCATACGTATTGCATATTACTGGAAGTCACTGTAGGAATCAAAATAGGAAGTATATGCTGGACCAGTAGATCCCCATGGAATCGCTATAGAACATCTAAAATATTTCGTCTTAAAATATGGCTATAATCAGATATGTTAATATTTAATTTAATATTTTTAGGATATGTTCTCTATCGACGTGAATCCCGCATATTATACTTAACGATTACTTATACTTTGGAGTCTGAAATCATGATGATCATAAATGTTATGCTAACTTCACAGACAGGAGTCATCACTGAAGCCGCGGCCGTTGACACCCGTCACTGCGGATTTCACGAATACGACGCAGCGCTCCACGTCGCGGACGCGCGTTGCCACGAACCGACGAGCCAATCCTAACCCTAATGCAGGTTGGCTATATCTATTTTAATAAATTAATTTTTACTTAGTCCGTTAGGGTTACCCCAACGCAGATTGGCTCTATCTATTTTATGGTGCGAGAAGTGGGTTAGACAGAGACAGAGGTACCCATGTATGACTTTGTGCAATGTCTGCCTTGATTGAATACTTTTATTCACAATATGTAATTGCATTACATTTATTACATTACATTAAATTAATTTTTTTTTGCACATTGTTCCACTTTTTTTTTTACAGTAAACAAACATTTTTAATGTTGTGGGAGCTAATCTATACAATAAATAAAATTGGAGTGTCTGTTTGTAATATTGAAATAACCGTTTTTTACTGCATGCATATGAATATAAATACATTACATACACCAAAAAACCACTTTTTAAAATTTTTGTTTGTCTGTCTGTCGGTCTGTTTGTTCCGGCTAATCTCTGAAATGGGTGGGCCGATTTTTACGGGACTTTTTTTAGGCAGGTAGCTAATGTAATAAGTAGTAACTTAGGCTACTTTTATTTTAGAAACATTATTTTATTTTAGTAAAATAAAGTATACGACGTGATTATACCACGTGGACGTGGTCGCGGGTACTGATAGTCATAAATAAAATAAATATTCTCTCACATTACACTTGGCTTCTCTTACACGCTTTCGAATTATACTTGACGATATTACCAGAACAATACTTTGTTCAAACTCATAGATATGGTCTACCTATAGTAAAGATGTATAATTGTATTATATATGTATTGGAATAGTTGTCACAGAAATAATTAATTGAATTTGTTTAATGACAGGCCCTGCAGGTGCCACGCAAGCCAACAATCAATCTCGTTTCAATGGCAATCAGATGCAGAAACCTCCTCAGAACATGGTTAGGTCACCACCCAGAGTGAAAACATCTCCTCCGCAAGCTCCGTGAGTATTAAACATTTCGAGAGAACACATGATAAATACTTTTAAGGTTGCGGTTGTTCATTGCAGTCTGCCTGGAAACTGTCGCTTTTAATTCCTGATCAATTTGGGTTAAACAGGCCTTACTTCATGCTCATCCTATCATACTCCGCTGGTGCCAGACATTTAACAAGCGTCTGACCTAAAATAAATGTGCAGTGGCCTGATGATGATGATAATGATAACATTAATGTTCATTAAATGGATACAAACGAAATAGAAAGAAAATATAAAATAATTTTATAAATCCTGAACCATTATTTTGTCTATGAAAATTGAAATAGTATTTATACATATTTTATCTATTACATTCTTATGACTTTTTTTCGAAATATCTTTTACTTTGAAGGGGATAATTGAAAGAAGCGGACTACACGTTAGTTTATTATAGTGCAGTATAGAAAGCTTTCATAATCATGTAAGGTTATTAACATAAATAATGACATCAGGTGGTCGAGTGGTGGAAACAGTACTCTGGCGTCACTACCGATGATCGGACTGGACGAGAGCCCTGCGCCGGCGCACAATGGGTACGCGCGGGCTCCCGAGCGAGTCGAGCGGCCAGATCGACCTGATCGACCCGATCGACCAGATCGTCCAGATCGACCAGATCGACCTGATCGACCTGATCGACCTGATCGGCCAGATCGGCCTGTGTATGAGAGACCGCCGCAGCCGCCTGCTGAGTCGAGACATCAGCCAGAACATGTACCTGCACCGGTGTGTTTTATATTTTTTTTACTTTCAGTCGGTTGCTGCTAATGGATGTATATATTTTTTTAATTACGCTACCTTTATTATGTGTGAGACCACAAATATTGAGTATAGTAACCTGACCACCGCTACCGAAAGCGTAATATCTTCTCCTAATTCTTCTCTCTGTGGTGATCTCTATTAGTGGGATTAAAAAAAATATATAATTATATAATTCCATTAAAAAAGTTATATTTATTTGAATTGGAACTATATTTATTTATTTGATTCAGGAAACTTAATATTATTTAAATAACAATTTTGGCCCATATTATATATACCTTACAGACTAACATATATATATGATAATAAAATATAAAAAAAAGGCTTCACCAACCTTGGGGTTGGGCGTGGTATGGAGAAGGCCTGTACTGAATGACAACAAAGATGTTGCTGATGCAACACATAATTATATTACAGTAATATAAAAAAAATGTGCAGTAATGCACATACAGAATGAATGTTATAGTAACCATCAATTTGTTACCTTTTTTCCTCTCGCATTACAGGTGCAGCAGGAAGATAGTTCGTCGAGTTCGTCGAGTAATAGCGACAGTGACTCCGACAGTGGTAGCGATAGCGATGATAACTCCGGAGCGTACCACGCACAGACAAATGGTAAATCATAACTATAATCCGGCACAAAGGATAATTTATATGGGTTTTTATATTAGACTAAAGGGAGATTTTATACAGTGATCTATGTTTTAGCACCTTTGCCTTACATAATTCTCCTAGCAGTTTGCTTTACACGCTCTGTTTCGATTTGAAAGGAGAATTGGTTATGAAAGTATAAGATACTAGCTGACTTGCGCAACTTCGTCTGCTGTACAATTTCCCAGTTTTTGCAACACCTTTCATTGCAGCTCCGTTGTTTTTTGTATCGTGGTGTACCTTATACCCTATAACGTCGCTCGATAAATGGGCTATCGAAATCTAACACAATTTTCAGAATAGGTTCTGTAGATCCACAGATTACCCTTTTAGTATTAGTATTGATGGGGGCATAACTTCCCAGCAGTGGAAATGTATGGGTGCTACATGTGTATTTTGTGAGATGCTACTGTGATTGTCTACATCCAATTTTAAAAAAATGTGTATATTTATTATAATTTTAACAATTAACGGTTACTAAATTAGAAGTCCAGATAAAGCATTTATATCTTAAGATGGAGTAAATCCTTTATCAAACATATATTATAGTCTGCCCTATACTAATTACTTAAGTTGATTGTATATTTATAAAGTTTTTTAAATAACAAGTTATTACTAAATGCTATAATATGTAACGCAGGTAACGTCAGCGCCCCGGCGACAGCGCTGCCCAGCGACGTGCTCAACAATGATCTCTGCCTCTCCGAGTCCGGCAGCGACTCCGACTGACCTCACGACAAACTTTTTTCTTTATCCGGGTTTGGGTATCGCTTTACACTTCCGGTACACGAACTGCGAGATTGCTCTCAACTTCACAAGAATGTATATCATTTAAAATTCGTAATTTTAATAAAAATCTACAACAACATCATGCGCTCAATTATGTAACGTAGCTGCTAACAATTCTCATTTAAAACAGATTGAATGTACAGTTTTACGATTATGTATTCCACCATTGACAGTTGCAATTTCGAACGATTAAACTTGTAATTGCAACTCTCGAATGGTTGTTGCAAAATTGTAAACCTATCTATCTAAATCTGTTACGAATGAGAATTGTTAGCAAGCGTGTTACACAATAAAGCAGCAGTTCCTATGGCAAATAGCAATAGTATACATTTCCAAATACGTTTAAGGTAACTTTGCTAAGTAAAATTGCTCTATTTTTTTATAACTAGACAGCAGAAGCAATGTATCGATCATGTTACAGATAAAGAGATAAAGGATGTGCTGTCTCGTTCTTTCTAATGTATGTGGTACATATATGCATACATGTTTGAAATTGGAATATGCCATTTGTCTTGGTGGGCCCTCAGCACTCTATGTAAATTTAGGGAAATTTAACAAATCTATCATTCTACATTCTTTCTTGTTGTATAAACTGTTCTGTCATTCTTTAATTACGTATCTGCACACATATTGGATGAAATCGATACTTATCTGTCGAATCAAGTATAAAATATAAGACAGAAATATATTGTTTTTTATCTTTATTTCTAAGTCGTATTTATTTTTGATCAATTACAGGGAGTAAAGGTAGAATCGAAATCTCTACGCTATATATTTGTTTATAATGCTACGGCTAAAGATATTGAAAATTGTTATATATCAAATTATTTTATTCGAGTCAATGCCAGTGGTGTGCTGTAATTTAATATTTTACCTTTACTTGTGGATGTGAGAACATCAGTTTTATGTTAAGTTTGAATGTGAAGAGGCCTTGGGATGGTTAAAAATGCTCAACGTAAATGTATAGTGATAGTGTTGCTGTTTGTGGAGAATTGGAGATAAGTAAGTTTTCTGAATATCTGCAAGTTTCTAGTTAGGGTTGCCATCTATTTACTTATTACGTAATATTTTTACGTCTGGGGAGCGCGTTTAGTACTCTTCAGGGGGGCCCAGATGTTCAATTTACAGAATCTGGTCCATATATTTTTAAATATATGTAAAGTATGAGTAAGGTTTGGTGTAAAATGATTTCATATTAAAAATCTGGGGTTATTAGATTTATATCCTGGTTTTTTAATTTTATAGATAGCAACCCTATCTATAATGCATGTAATTTGTTTTCTTCAGAATTCATGGACAAATGTTTGTAGGTGATATAATTACTATATTGCCTTTAATGAAGTTAACAAATAACATGCACAATGTATAATCTATTTAATATTAGTACCCGTTTGACTTTAGAAAGTGATTTTATATACATTTATATATTTATACGTACATGTAAGGCGTCCATTAGACGATAGGTTTTACCAGCATTTGCTGACAGTTTGTGAAGTTTGAACAGGGTTGCCAGGTTTTATGCTTATTATTGTCTAAATAAAATGGCGATTATTTTCCTCATAAATATATTTTTTACCTGAATTGTCGAATTCGGAATACTGTGTATGGAATATAAAATACTGTTTATATTGGTTGGTTTAAATAAGTTGATGAGTGATTGTGTAATGGACGCTAAGCTAGAGCTAGTTAATAAAGCTTTCTAACGCCGAAAATAGGGTACATATGTTTTGTATAAAAAGATGTCAAGGTCATATGCATATTATATATTCAATGATAGTATGTAATATTGGAAACATGTGGCACTATAAGACATGGAACCTACATATAGTATGTAGGCATTGACATGGCCGTGTATATTTCTCTTCAAGTAAGAAGCGAAATCGCTTTGTGCCCGAGGGCACGTACTTGGCACGGCCCGTGCCGTATCTATGTTACAAATTATATTAACATAGTCGAGAAAGAAAAACCATGATTGCCCAATTGTTGCTATCTGACTAGTGTCATTCCTTTTGACACTGCTGACGCAATTTGATAATGTACTTGTATAACACAAACAACAATCGAATATATATATATATATATAGCATGTGACATCTTGACACTTGCAACATTCTGTTATATTTAAAAAACATATTATCTTGTCCACGATTTTAAGTAAAATATTTTACTTAGCATTAATGACATAATAATATAGTAATAATGTGCCTCAAACTTAAGAAAACAGAGTTGTCTTTATTTTATGCAAATATTTTTAATACATAATAATTAGCGTGTACCGTTTGTTTGATATTTTTATGGCAACCATACATATTATTATGTTTAATTATTACTTAAAAAGAAATAAATTTGTATAGTAAGAAATAAGTGTTTTTTATTATTTCCTTATAGCAGAATGGGGTAAAGAAAAGATAAACTTAATTCAGAATTAAATAGAACTCGTGTAAAAGTATTTGTATTCGACAATTGATAAAAGTATTGACGTCATTTTCTAAAATAAAATCAGTTATTCATATGTTATTATCATCATCATCTGCTTCTTCCTTATCCCATATATTATATAAATAAATAATTTATGAATAACTACTTAGATTTATTACTGCGTATAAATTATAACCCCATTTCCTCATTGAACCAAAAATTACTATTTGTATTATTATTAATAACTTATCTTATGATAAAGTCGTAATATCTAATCAGACTTGGCAAAAAAAATTGTTTAATGATATGATGCCAATTTTACTTAGAATATTATTTGCATATTATTCTGGAAGACATTAAATATCACAATATTTTATCGAAATTGTTTAAGCTTTCTTTCAAATTTAGGCAGAAAACATTGAATTAGTAGCAACATTCACTATCAGTCCGAAATGTCATCACGTATACTGTCGCTGTCAGTCAATGTCAGTAAATTGTCAGTCTATTACTACTACTGGTCTGTCAGTGTCCAAGGTATACCTATGTTCGCTTTGCTTGGTTGTGTTTTCGTATTTTATTTCTAATTTTTTATCTTCTTTGTTTTATGATTATACTAGCAAAATAATAGTAAATATATCAATATATTTATGTGGGTGCTAAACAAAACTGGTGTGCTTTACAATATATCTACTCATTGTTTAGATAACAATTGAATTCATAAAATATATATTTGTACCGTAATAGTATTTTGAAATGCTATTGTAGTAGCATTATTCCCGTGATGTCTAATTCGTCGAGTAATAAAAATCATAACAAGAAGTCGAATAGTAGCCGCGACCGTGATAGAAATAAATCTGTCGCTTCAGAGTCAGGAGGTTCGAGCCAATGTGACACACCGCCGCTAAATGACAAGGTAATAGAAATCTATCCATATACTTGCAACAAGTATTCGCTGACCAATTCACAAGTTTCTACAATTGATTATGAACATTTAAAAAAAAATTAGTGCTATACCTACGTACCAAAGGTTACTACCATCATATAGATAAATCCAACCATTTACTTGCAACAAGTATTCATTGACCAATTCACAAGCCTCTACAATTTATTAAGAACATTTAAAAAAAATGTGCTTTACCTACCTACCTACCTTCCAAAGGTTACTTATTGTCATCACATCCCTAAAGAAATGTATAAAATTACAAACTATATACTAAATGATTATATATTTTTTTCTGTTTGTATGTACTTAGGATGGAGGACCATCACAAGGCCGATTTGCAGGGGTTGGAGCCGAATCTATACTATGTATGGCAGAACAAGTGGGTGCTGAACTTAGTGCAGAAGCGGCTACGAATCTTGCTGAAGATGTTAGCTACAAATTACGCCAAACTATTAGTGTAAGTTATAGTTTATTTTTTTCATATCTTGATCGGCTCACCAAGGCTTTAGAAGATTTGTTGTGGTAATCAGTCGACGGGAGAGAACTCTATCTCCAGTGAGGAAACTGTCTCATTTTACATTACTGTTTTTTTTCTCATTACTGAATAAAATCCCATGCATGATGTCTTTTAAGCATTTTGTAATTCAAAGGGTCAGAAAAAAATATTATTCATATATTGTTTCCATAAATTATTAGTACAATAGATTTTTTATTTAAAACTATATTAAACCTGCCTATCAAATATAAATTTTGCAAAGTAGTATCAAATTTTAGTAGATTTCATTTTTCTTATTAAATAAATACAATCCCTTTAGTCCTTTATTATGTAGTTTACCATATTCAAAAGCATTTTTAAAATAGGTTAAGTAGTTTGAGTTTATTTATGAACAAAGATGACATACTGTGCTGACCCCAAACAATGGGAAAAACTCAAGCCAATGATGATCATGAACGAATAAAGTCTTTAGTTATTTTTAAAATAGATTTACATATTATTATTACATTCATATGCATTTATACACATTTCCTTTATGTGATGCCTAATGTTAATTTAGTATAGGCAGTTATTTTATTAGATGTTTTTTATTTGCAGACAATTGCTTTGCATAGTGAAATGATGAAGAAGTCCCGTGTTGACTGCTGGGATGTGAATGCAGCTTTAATGTTATCTGACACAAGCCCAGTTGTTGGTACATGTGCATCACAATATGCAACATTCGGAGACGAAAAATTATGTAGCCAAGTTGTAAGTTTAAAATTTTACACCTCAGGTATAGCTATTTTAGATAGTGCTTCACTTGTCGCCGCTGATATCGGTATGATTCATACACGAAATATACCTAGAAAACAGCTACTGCTGTTTTACCTTTTATCTATAAGTGTTTGTACTGTGTGAGGAATCGAATTTGTGACCATTGGAAGGCGGTGTGCTAAATAAGATCACTGAGACTAGGTTTAATAAAAATATAGCAATTAAAAGTTGATAAATTTTAAATGAAACCCAGAGAGAGCAGGGCTTCATTTAAAATTACTATTTTTTTTTTTTCTTGGGGATTTTGGGCTATTGCCAGGACCTGTAACACTACAACCTGATTAGATTTATTGTGCTCACTTTAACTTTGTCTCCTAGTTGATTAAAGGGAACACTCCCTCTAAGCTAATTTATATATAATAGTTTATATATTATTATTTTTTATTCCTTATGCTTAGATACTTGAGAAACAATCAGTAGTAAATAATTAAAAAAAAATATTAATAGAATAGTAAGTATATATTGCCAGAGTCTTAACATCTAGACAGATTCCACATTTAAAAAATTTCATACAGAAATTTGTATTGTACAGAGGTTGACAAACATTGGGTAACAAGGTAAGGCAGTAAGAGCATTTATAATAATATTGTATGGTTTTTTTTCAGGATAGTTTATTCAATGTCACAGAGTGTGGTTTAACCACACAGAGTTATGTATACGCAACATTACCCACAGTATCTGTTGAGTGGATAACAGATGATAAAAGTTTGAATAATAGCAATAATATAAGTGTTAACTTGCAGAATTATTACACAAAAGTTGCCAGAGGTAAGAATTCACACTATTCAGGTTTTTGTAGAATAAAATAATAATAATAATTTGTTTCGTGTTGTTGTATAATAAAATTATATAATTGTAACAAGGCGAAAAGTAACTGTATTTTTGTTAGTGTGCTGATATTCACATAAAATTAACTGAAGGAACTATGATGTAATTTTCACAGAATATGTTATTATGTAGTCAGTCAGTATTTTTTCAGTCTATTCTCATAAAGGAAACTTAAGATTTTTCTTTTAAATTAAAAATATGCTATCTAGTTGTGTTTTATATTAATTAATTAATATAAAAATAGCTGGCATTGTATTACTGTTTTATTTATTTTTGTCGCTTAATTATTGTCATCCTATAACAGTAGTAACTTATATAATTTCAGCAATATTGAACCTTAAAAATAAGCCAAAAGAGTTGGCAGTTGAAGATCTGACGACAAACACTCGCATAGGACCAATATTCCCCAACCTTTTCAACTTGGCCGTGCTGGTGTTGAATGACGACAATCTGAACGCGTTACATGTGCCAGCCAAGAAACCCTTGCAGTCAAACGTTTTAGATATGGTCGACGCTCTCTGTTCAAATCCCTGTAGTTTAGATACGAATATTCAACAACAGGTAAGTCTAGTCTTGATATAGTCGTTGTTTACTGTTTTATAATCTGTCTTAGACCACAACGGTAAAAATGTAAAAAAAAACTTAGAAAAACACTTACAAAAATAAAACATAGGCCAAAAGGAAGTCGCCACCAAAATAAAAAGACGATAAAGGTCGTTTGTTCAAACAGATCTGACCAACAACAAAAAATACTTAAGTGAAACAAAATTAATCCTAAATACTGTGGTAGATCCTGCTACTTTGCTTTAAATTGTGGTTGTATTAAAGCAGTTTAAGAATAAGAGTAGTTTATCGCTGCCAATGAAAATTACTATTCATTATTGCCTTGCCTTTATCCCAATATTTGGGGTCGGCGCAGTATGTCATTCTCTTCCACTGCTCTTTATCGGTCGTCATATGTGAACATACTCTTCTTTTATTCATATCATGTTTCACACAATCCATCCATCTTTTCTTAGGGCGTCCCCTCCCTTTACATATTATGCACTTATGATGAAAATTACTATTAGAAAATGAACATTAATTTCATTGTCTAGTCGCTTAGATCTTTTAATGTAGTATTTAGTAGTAGATAGCGTGATTTATTTGAATATTACATACTCGTACACCCGTGCGAAGCCGGTGGTGGTAGCTAGTATATTATAAATCTTCTTCATTTATAAACAAATAAGTTTAAATTAAGCTATATATATTATTTACGTATAATGATATATCATTACTACATTGACTTATATCTTCTCTAACATTTTTTTATTTCTTTTCAGTTCCAACGGCTCTTTCCAGTAATGGTATCAAATATACTAGGTAATGGTTCGCTTGCGGAGAAAATGGTCGCAATATTAACTAAAATTACTCGAACATGGCCATCATTTATAGCAATAGGTACATATTATTGTAACAATTTGTATTTAACCTTAATGTTTGTGTTAGATTGCTGATATATGTACATATAAGTTGGTCAGTCAACAGGTAATCCAAATGCGACAAATGTTTCGATGGTTTCCGGTTATCTCATTAGGTTGTTACGACTCGTCCTCTTTTGAGTTACGGAGGCCTAACGACTAACCGACTGTATATTGTCAGCCTTAGTGATGAAAAGTATGATACGAAAGTGGGAGGATGAACATATAAAATAATTACAAATCACTCATATTGAGTGCTGTTTGACAGTCGAATTAAAATGTGCTCGGTGGTAAAGCAGTTTAGCATACGGGATCGCGGATTCAATTCGCACAATCCAAACAAAATGAATATTTTTTATGATTATATTGGTGTGGGTGTTAGATAAATGTATTTAGGTATTTCTATAAGTACTGTTTTGTTTCAACAAGTTACAAGTTCTATTTTGTGAATTAATGTGTTTTGTTACAAAAATGTATATTATAGGTATAAAAACCAGTATATAATTAAAAAGTTATAATTATGTTCTTTTACAGGTAAAGGTATTCTGTTTGACTATTTATCACAAGGAACCAAAGAGCGATTGACTGCGCCTATGATCAAATGCGTGATGGCCTTAGGCCGGCGGGCGCTTATAGAATGCCTCGGTGATCATTTGGAGCATATAGATGACTGTATTCATGCGCCTAGGAGGAATCACTCGCAGGCTGATCTTAGGGAAAGTATACTAGTAAGTATTTATTGATTTGTCGATACTTGTAAATATTTTTATGTGACAAAAACTAATGACATGCATGACATAATATCGCAACCGTAATATATATATTCGACAGCGTATATATATAGTACGGTTGCGATATATATATATATGATAAAGGAATCGTGCACTCGCCTGCGTTTACAATTTAGACTGTCGCAGCACCAGTGAAGGATAATAAGATGAACATGAGGTCAGACCAGTTAGACCTTCGTGACAAATTTACTAACAATTTTTCACGATGGCTTCCAGATAGAACCGCGTGGGGGGTAACCCTGACACAGTACATTGCTAGTAATGGGATCTTCTGTCCACATTACTGTCAATTCAATTCCTCCCTGATGTGTGTATTATCCAGGTTTATTATTATTATTTTATTCCCAGAATAAATTTGCAATACCTATCGCCAGTAGTAATTAGTTCAGGTTGGGATAAAAGGGATTGTTAGTAACGTCGACAGTTAACCCTATTGCTAGAGGGGAAAGAGGATTGTTAGTAATGTGGACTGATGTTCTTATTGCTAGCAATGTACCATGTCAGGTTGACCTCCACACGGTTCCCCCTGGAAACCATCTTGATAAATCTTGGTGGATTTATCACAATGGGCTAACTGACCTGACCTCATGCTCATCTTATCATCCTCCACTGGTGCCCCGCCAACGTAAACTGTTAGCGCAGGCGGGTGCACTATTCCATTATCATCCATAAAAAAACCCTATTGCTAGCAATGTCTCCACGTGGTTCTCCCTGGAAACCATCGTGATGGGCTAACTGATCTGACCTCATCTTATTATCCTCCACTGGTGCCCCGCCAAAAAAGTAGCGTTAGCACTGCTGTTGGGAATGCCCCTGACTATTTAATTTAGGATAATATTGCGACGTTGGCCCAGCGGTTCGGTACATATATATTTTCATTACAACTTTCCTTTGTTCCAGGACGCTTCCACCTGCCTACTTAGATCTGAACCGACCACTTACCTCGAAGATTATGTTATGACTGATTACACTTTGTACGAGATGTTAGGTGATTCAATAATGCCACGGCGTACTTTGTTTCCGATTACAGGTATGTTCTACATATTATTGCATAGCATAAATGTAATATGTATGTATGTAACAAGCATTATTTTTGATTCTGCAACATCGATAAAGTCACCTAATAGATTTTCACATAATACCATGTACAGATAGAGATCATATTTATTATATATAAATAATTGTTGTATGTCTGAATACATAGTAGACACTTCTTTGACAATTTTAACGCGCATAGCCTATATTACATGTTGTAAAGACAACAAATGAATAACCCTTATATAACATTTGTTTAAAAGAGCAACACACAAGTGTAAGTCCGAATGAGTGGTAGAATAAAAAAAATGTGACTATTCAAAAGTGCTTCTATTAAGTTTATATGAATAAATATTATTTTTATTTCTATACCAATAATTAAATATTTCAGAAGTTACCACGAATGGCGAGACCGATGCAGAGAAAACATCAGATGAAGATCACTACACGATGTTATTCAGGCCACCGATGAGGCGGCCCAAATTGAGACTGATTCCTGTTAGTGTACATAATAACAGCATCCACAGAGACACTGTGTTCGAGGAAACAAGATACAATAGTAATAAGTGTATTAGAATAAAAATAAAGAATTGTAGATCAATCGAATTGCCAAAACGTGTTGGTCGGACGTTCACTGATAGGACTCAACTCAATAACACTTTTGTGTCCGGTCGGGTTGCAGGCGCGGTGGCGGCCAGTGGTTTGTTAAACAGATTCCGATATAGATTAAAGAAAAACAATGCAGTTCCAATATTTGGATCGATGATGTTATAATTTGTATCATAGCTTTAAGTGAAATATAAATTATTTTTTATAATGTGGTTTTTTTCTCAACTAATTCCTAAATATAATAGGCTTGTAATTTTCATAGATCTTTCCATACCGTCGTGCGGGGAACAGAGGGGCGGTATTTTGTTTAGGAGCTGGCGAGTGAATGCAATAGCTTCATATATACATAGAATTTATATAAAACATTCTTCTCAAAAGTTGTTTAAAAAATTTATTCTTAGCTTATTTCTTATTGCAAAATACATAGAACCTGTAAAATACCTGAAACACTATTACACAACATATATATACTATACTAATATCTCGGAACAATTCATACAGCGCCATCTAGTCCCGAGCTAAACAGAATTTGCGAATATGGGTACTAGACAACTGATACTGGAGTGATATAATACATAATATAATACTTTTTCGTAAATACATACGTAAAGTACATAGTATATATTATATCGATATAAACAATCACACTCATGATTACAAATGTTTGGACTGTGCGAGGAATCAAACATGCGACCATTGGAAGTAAGGCGGTGTGCTAAACCGCTAGACCTCCGAGGCAAGCAGGTATTATACTATTTTTTATTAAAAATTATTCCTCTATCTACATCAATACACTCCATTGATAAATAAGTAAATAAAAAAGTAATAAATAATAATAATAATTGTTTATAATCATTATGATCGGTTCAGTTAGTTGTAAGATTAGTTATCTTGTGCTTAAGGCTGCAAAGATATGAGTTTATGCCTGCGAATAAAGAAACACTGCTGAAGTCTCATAATTTCTAACATGTTTAGCAAGGTCAGTGATAGAATAAATAACTAACCTAAATCAGCCAAAAATCACTAGCAGACATATTCCAAAATTGTTACGAAATCTACAGAGAGCGTAAAGTTGGGAGTTTGCTAACGTGACCATTTATTCTTTGACGCAAAACGGGACATAAGTTTATATAGGTCAATTAACAGATTGTCAATAGAAATAATCGTTTTTTAAAGTTATTCATTCAGAAAGAGTTATTATAAAAGTTACGAATTCAAATATATTATATAGTGAAACAATATTTTTAGTTATATTTATATCGGAGGGACAAATAAGCTTTATTAAAATATTTTGTGTAGTTATATTTATACTATCTTTATTTAAATAGGTGGTAAAGATTTTAAATAAAAATAAAACTATTGGCGCGTTTTTTTTATATTCATCTTAAATAATAAAATCAAATCCGACAGGCTTGACTACCGTTTCCGAATACTGGACAGTTTCTTGACCCAGGGTTTTGTTCGGAGACACCGGGTCTCATAATTATAAAAAGGGACAGTCCCATTTAAAACGGCACTGCCTGGTCACGTTAGAGTTAGCCCAAAATAATAGTGGAAGGATGTTTACAAATGAATGTGGCGCGGCCGGCGCCAAGCGCCACCTGAGGCGACGTCGCGACGCCGTCTACGTCACATGCGTATCGCTATTGTCAATGTATCGCACGTTTACGATTCGGCTATTACCGTAAAGTATGTGTTGTATAATTAATGTTTTCTAAATAACGCTGTGCTAGGCGGAGTGTTTACGAAAGAATGCGGCGCCGGCGCCACTGCCAGTTCACCTGGGGCGACGTCGCGACGCCATTGGACGCTGTTACACGGACGCGTAATGTGAATATCATTAGTTGTTCCTAGAAATTGCAATAAGCAATTCCGTTTAACGATTGTGTGTGAAATTATCCGGATGTATTTGTCAGGTAGCTACCAGAGTGATTACTAACTTTTGGATTAATAATTGTATTTTTATTATAATTATTCGAATATCAGATTACGTGATATCAACCGTCACAGATGAGAAGTGATAAAGTAGCAAATAAGAAGATGTAATGTAAATACCTATTTTTATAATTATTATGACTTTGGCGAATGTAGGTATATATTGTGTATTATATTATATATTTTGTATATATACATAAGTATGACATATTTTGAAAAATATTTAAATTTTAATAAAAATAAAATATTCACTATGTATTAGGTGTGCGACATGGTATACTTACTATTTATAACCCTCGGCATTGTTTGTTTTTTTAGTCAAATATGTCCATCCGCTGTCTTCACGCCATATATTTTATAAATGATAGGAAGTCTGTCTGTTTAAAAATTGGTAGTTGATTCATTCAGTAAGATACGAGGTATATCTGTCTATGGACTACGTTGCAGTGAAACGGTACCGTGTGATGCAAGTCCTGTACAGTTCAGATCTTATCAACTACTTACCAACTTTTGGACTTCATAAACTTTTTGGAACGGTGCCTGGTGTCTTGGGCCAAATGGCTCCAGTTTTATTATTTGTATATAAAAAAACCACTTACAACTTGATACATATAATATCAGTAAGTAATCGCAGGTAGTCAGAAATAGATTCTTGTTGTTATGCACATTTTTATTCATAATAAATGTTAGTAATATAATGGGAACTATTGACTCTATTAATATTGTAGCATGTCAGTTGACCTCCACGCGGCTAGTTTGGAAGCTATTGCGGTTAATTCCTGGTGAATTTCTTGACTTCGTCCATATCCTATCATTTACATTGGTGGCCCGCCAGAGTATACCGTTAGCGCAGGCGAATGTACCATTTTATTGTCATCCATCCAAATAGATGTTAGAAATTTAATCCGTTCGGTGAATTCGGTGTGACAAGATTTGTATCTATATTGCTAATTCTCCGTCTTCCTCTGATTATCCATCTCAATTCATGTGTCAGATTAAATTTCGCATGGGCTATTTTAATATAGATAGATCTCATTACAATTGAAATTGTTAGTTTAGGGATGTATTATCTAATATTAATAAATAATCGATTATATATTACATAGACTATTATTTTTCTTCAATTCCGGTCTTTAAGATTTGTCTGATGTTTTTTATTATTCTAAATAAACTATTAATCGATTTTTTTCTAAACACGAATATTAATGTGATTATATAGTCAATATGATCAAGTGGTTTTTTAAAATAAATCTGCAATTTTAAGGGAGTCAAAAATTAGGGTTGTAAGAAAATAATCGATTTTTTTACACACAATGGCAAATCCTTATTAAATCTAAAAAAGTGGGTTTATTAATTGATACAAATATTCTACTCTATGTAAGGACGCTGTACAGTTTTGGGAGCACTTAGCGATATAACCGGTACTTATACCTATTAGGTCGGTACGTGGGTTTCACTAAATACGAGTTCAAATGTAATAACTCATGCTAATATGACAAATTGAATATTTATGACTGACAAAATGTTTTTATTTGTATTTAAAAAACTTAACACCTCATGATTTAAGATGATACTGTGTTCTTGCAAATTTTGGGGCGTGGGTTTTGACCCTCTATTGTCAGGGCGAGTGAGCGTACAGAGACCATTCAGGGTTGTCAATTATACAACATTTAGCGTCGTAAGAAGAAATAAAAAAATATAAAAAATCTTATCGACATGAGCTGAATTCGGTTTTCTATCACCGACCGATTTTCGTAGTCGAAATCTCTTATTTGTATGACAATAATCGTACAGTTGACATCCTTGAGACCATTCTTCTTATTTTAAGATATGATCTATGCTCGCATGACATGTTATAAAATAGTTTTTATATGAATCTTTATATCTGCTTTTTCAAGCATTGCATTTTGCAATTATTCCGTGGTTAAGTGCTAAGCAATTATTTGCTCAATGAGTAGGTACACATATCAATGTACATTTTTTAAAATGAATAATAATGGCATTGTGGACCGGACCCGCCTGTGCCTACAGTAATCGCAGAAGATGATAGAGAGGACAGAGTCGAATATCTTAATGTTATCACCAGAAATCGTGAAGACACGATCTGAAACGGTAACCTAACAATAGGACCTATTTCACATTGCTGACAATTGTTTACCTCTTACTTTCATGTCATAGACCGTATAAGGTATGTATATATCTTTATTATCTCTCTAATAAAGTCTTTGATATGAAAGTTTTTAAAATGAAGTAGGTACATATCTAAGTATAAAATTAACACAGGATGACTGCCAGCCGATTGATTCACCATCGGCGGCCAATCGCAACCGCTGACGCTATAAATATGAAATTTGGTCAATAGGTTCAGATATTTATAACTTATTCTTACCCACGACTTTCACTGCATGAATCATTACTTTTTACCGAATTTCAAAGACTTTAGGACAACTCCTAAAGTGCTTGAAATTAGGTAATACCTAACCCTTTTCTAAAAAAAAAACATTCATATTCAATACTTTATTTGTATGTTTTTGATTACAAATAAAATTTTTAAAATTAAATATTTAACACACAAACATACATTTACAGTTTAAAAAAATAATCGAAAAAAATAAACACGCAGATTTTTTATTTTTAAATGATATTGAGGGTTTATTCCGGAGAAAATGCCACTCCTATCTTTGTCGTATTTTTTTATATTCTTGTTGATATTAAAACTTTCATGAATATAATGAGTGACGGTATAATAGGATAATAAAACATAAGATACAATCATTTGTAACTTGAATATAGGTGCAAAAATAATATTACATACTGAGGTTGATATTGGAAAAAGTATTCTGCGTGGGAACCTCAGTACTTCAGGTACCTACAAAGCAAGCTGCTAAAATAGCTCATCTATTTTAGCTACGATGCAGCTTGCTTTGTAAGCTGTATTTTGGTCTAAGGGCAGTGAAATTACAGACATTTTAGAAGACCAGAATGGTAACGCCCATGAGGGCGTTATATGATAATGCGAGAGATATTCACATAGGCGCCAGTTACACTTACCAACAATTGTGCCGTCCGCTTGTTTGTAATTTCAATTGTATAAAAAATAGTCATTATCAAAGTTAATCCAAGTAGGTACCTATACATAGATTGCCTTTGGCATCAACGTACTTCTTACCGGGGGAAGGAGGGATTCAATTTATGATTTCATTTGTCAATATTCTGTATATCTTTTTAAAAAATCATCATTGTAAATATCATAAACACCGAATATAGAGTACG